CTTCTACAGATCTCACCCAGTACACCCTACCCCCATCCTTCTACAGATCTCACCCAGTATATCCTTCCCCATCTCCAGATCTCACCCAGTACACCCTACCCCATCCATCTCCATATCTCACCTAGTACACCCTACTCCATCTCCAGTTCTTACCCAGTACACCCTACTCCTTTTCTACAGATCTCACCCAGTACACCCTACTCCATCTCCAGATCTCACCCAGTACATCCTACTCCATCTCCAGATCTCACCCAGTACACCCTACTCCATCTCCAGATCTCACCCAGTACACCCTACTCCATCTCCAGATCCCACCCAGTACACCCTACCCCATCCTTCTACAGATCTCACCCGGTACACCCTTTCCTTCTACAGATCTCACCCAGTACACCCTACTCCATCTCCAGATCTCACCCAGTACACCCTACTCCATCTCCAGATCTCACCCAGTACACCCTATTCCATCCATCACCCGATCTCACCAGTACACCCTACTCTGTCTCAAGATCTCACCAGTACACCCTACTCATCTCCAGTCGGGTCGGGTCGGGTAGCCTAGTGGTAGCCTAGTGGTTAAAGCGTTCACTCGTCACGCCGAAGACCCGGGTTCGATTCCCGACATGGGTACAAAGTGTGAAGCCCATTTCTAGTGTCCCCCGCCGTGATATTGCTGGAATATTGCTAAAAGCGGTGTAAAACCATACTCACTCACTCACTTCATTTGCTTGTAAGGTGCTTTTTTATGGTATATGTCATCGCTCAATGGTGAACATCAGATACACTTGCTAGAGTATGTGATGAATTTACATGTGAAAGGTAAAAAACATTACACAAACCCCTTGTCACACACAAATCATGTCGGTTGTGATTTATGTTAATGTTTATTTGTATGTGACAGGGTGACCAAATAAACGGGACATAGCTGACATTTTGCCAGACACATAATCTGTTGGTGTACATATTCAGTGCTTTTGAGCAGTTTGGAATAAAACTGTAAACCTTTCAAGTGGTCCTTTTGAGTGTAGCAGTACACAATATCTTTAACATGTCTAAAACTCAGCAAGACTGATAGATCCGGTGGTTAAGTGACCTGTTATTTGTGTCATCATGTCCTGTCACAGGGTTGTAAAACCTGTCTAGTCACGGCCTTGTGACCACACTTGAAATCTTAAAATGTTTACTCATTTTGGGAAAACCCCAATGGAGTGATGAGTAGATGAGTGAAAAAATACTGGTTACCAGAGCTCCAGATAAGCTGCGTATCTGCGTAAAATACGCATCAGAAATGCAGAAATATGCAGTACATTAAAATCCAAGCGTATCAAATATGCAACGAACATTACAGATACGCTACAAACATAAAACTTGTGCGTATCATCAAAATATTGTGAAGTAACCCTGCGTATTCGATTAGCAAATCAGCAACTTATTTTGAAATTATAAACGGGCATTCCGTCAACCTTGCTAAACTCCACGATGACAGTTACATCATGATCATTTGCCATCACACTTTCTTGTGGAAGTATCGTGGTATTTTTGAGTCCTATAAAGCTCTCGAACCCACACGAATCCAGTTTGCAGGGACTAGATGAATAGTGTTTTTAAATATTTAACTTAAATACCCACATGTGTAAAAACTTGTGGGTAACAGAAATTTGAATACCCAGATAGAATTACTGATACCCAATGATTTTGAAATGCATGGGTAAAATACCCACAAAAGCTTATCTGGAGCTCTGGGTTACCCAATGAAAATGTAATAACTCAATTGCTCAAAAGGTTATCTGGAGCTGTTTTACATCTTGTTCATGTGTTGAAAATGTTTTTGTGACATTGTTTTTCACATATGAGCAGGATTATCTAGTAACTTTTGCCACCTCAATAATTGTTACACTTACCTCTTCCATATTGGGGGCGGTCAAGTAGCCTAGTGGTTAACGCGTTTGCTCATCAAGCTGAAGACCCGGGTTCGATTCCCGACATGGGTACAATGTGTGAAGCCCATTTCGTGTGTCCCCAGCCGTGATATTGCTGGATTATTGCTAAAAGGGCGTAAAATCAAACTCACTCACTCTTCCATATTGGTTTAATGGTAAGTTTGCTATTTATTTTTTTTCCCTATGTTAGGAAGCATACTTTGTTAACATGGTTAACTTCACCAGGCTATTGCATTCCCATGGCTGAACAGGACAGGTTGTCCTCTAGGACGTCTGGGCACATGGATTAAAACCCATGTGCCCTCCAGGCTTCCCATGGCTGAACAGGACAAGTTGTCCTCTAGGACGTCTGGGCACATGGATTAAAACCCATGTCCCCTCCAGACTTTGCAAGACTGTTTACGGGTCATCTTGCTACTGGGTGGTCATTTGAAACTCAGGTTTTGTTTGCAAGAGATTACAGGGCAGCATTAATCTAGTACTGACATACTCTGGTTGTATTGAGCTAAACTTAATAGCTAGGGTTTTAATACCCCGTTTTCCTTGTAATAAAAAATAACCAACTTTCCTGTGATTGTCTAGTTGAGGTCAACACATGGTCAAGTACCTATTTACTATTGGGAATCAAGTTACCCTTTTGGTCAAGTACCTTTTTTTAGAGTCTAGATACTCCGCAGTTCAAGTACTTTATATCTTTGGGAAGTTTAGAATTGCCATGCCCGGTCAAATGACTAGTCTTTAGTCTATAAGACTAGTTTGAAAGTCAGGCGTTTGTTTGTCTATTTTATTGCCCAAGAGACTTATTTGAGGGATAGGCCCCCTGTGTTTATTTCCCCCTATTTAATCCAGTCGAGGTTTTTCACTCATTGGAGTATTGAGTTAATTAACTCTAAGTAGTTAATTGGTCACAGCCGACTTAATTGACTGTCTAAGCATCTTGTCAAAGTGTTGTTTTAGCTGCTCTCATTTTATTACTTCTATACAGTTGATTAACTAATCAACTTGTGTATTTACTCTTATTTAATTAATCAAAGATCATTGTCATTAAAAATCCCCAAATTGGACTTTAAAAATTCCCAATTCATGTTTATATAAAAAGTGATAACTGATCTTATGGCTTTGTAGAGATAACTTGTATTTCACTGATACCAAGACCAATAAATTTGAGGAGGTTTTAATGCTTAGTTTCGTATTATTGCCTTGGATGCAATATAAAAATAAAATGTTAAAACATCTCTGAATTCAGGAAAATTAGACCTTAAAACAACAAAACAATTTTGAACATCATAATGATTTTGTCCCAATTTGCGTGCCACAGGCCTTTGTTTAGAATCCTGGATAAGTCCGTGAGTGAGGATTCCGGGTCAGAATAGGTCCCCAGCAGTATGGGCTGACCAAATGGATTTTATTGTCAGGCTCGCTGACTTGATGGCCTTAAAATCGAACAGACAAGAGAGTACTTATCATAAAATACATGTTAGAGATAAGATTGTTTGTTTCCTGTATACCATTATACGCTGGATCTTTTGAAAGTCACACTTAGTCATGCTGATCATGTTATAGACAGGATTATTAGTTTTCATGTGAAGTCCATGACACTTCTGACGATCCATTTGACCCACTTTCAGGTTAGTCATGGGGCACTAACAAGGATGTTTATGTAGATTTTGTCACTTTGGAATTGAAATTTGCTAACACAGAAAATAAATTTGATCAGTCATTGAACTCACTGAATGTCACTTCACAATTTGCTAGATAGATAATGGCAGCTGTAATTTAAAAAGTTGACCACTACCTTTTCAATGTGATTCATAATACACCTTTCAGTTTGTGAATCAATCCCCTTTGTTTTTGCTCACCTGGCCTGAGTGAGTGAGTGAGTATGGTTTAACGCCGCTTTTAGCAATATTCCAGCAATATCACGGCGGGTGACACAAGCAATGAGCTTCACACATTGTACCCATGTCGGGAATCGAACCCGGGTCTTTGGTGTGACGGGCAAACGCTTTAACCACTGGGCTACCCGACTGCCCTCACCTGGCCTGAAAGGTTTAGGGTTGTGGCAATCTTCACAAGTTGTCTTTAACTTGTTTCAACTTTCTACACCTTTTAACTTTTTCTCCAAAATGGCTCAAAGGATTCAGCTAAAAATGTGAATGGATGCTTGCAGCTATAAAAGAGTTCAGTATTCAGTCTTTTGCACTTTGACTCTGTCCCCAAATTCTCTCAAAATACACTTCCTCACATTGTAAACATGATCAAACTTCACATCTTTGTTCCCACCAAGAAGGACCCCCCCCCCCCCCCCCCAGTTTGTTCAAGAGGTTCAAATCTGATTTTCAATATGGCCACCACAGTAGCCATGATGAGAAGCTATTTATAGCCATGACTCTGCCAATTTTGTACAAAATGTAAAGAAATTTGGTACGTTAGATTATGGTAGGCTCTCTCTATCACGGATAGACTTGGGACCAATGCTTCAATTTCACTAGTAAGTAAAACATTAAAACAAGAAACTCATTTACTGTTGCTATCAATATTGATAAATAATTCAAAATATTATAATTAATATCTGTTGAAAATTTGTCTTTAAAAATCCTGCCCCCATTATTTTCCCGAGCTACTAAAATTTTGAGGAACTTTCAGACACTTTGAGGAAATAAATAAGACTGAATTGTTAGAAGTTGGCGGATGACAAAGTAGAGACAATTCATGGATAACAACTTCTTTATTTACTGTATAGGTCCTTATTGTTATATAGTTGTTATCCATAAATTGTCTCTACTTTGTGAAAAAAATACTGAACTGAATTTTTTAGCCAAAACTTCCTTCAAACCCCCTGAAAAAGAAAAAGTCTGGCCTTCATCAGTCTGAAATTCTGCACTGGGAAAGAATATTTGTGAAATAATTTAACTATTGGCATTTGATAATATTTTTGTTCTTGTGTCGGCACATGAACATGCTCAAGTTCAGGTCCTCATCTGTGTTGTACAGTCATCATGTATTCGCCACATGGAGGTGAGATCAGTCATGTTTTACTTCACACGTTACTTTTGTTTGCAGCTAAGTAGTTGGAGAGAAGACTTTTATGAGTCATTTGAAGAAACCCCTCTGATCATAGCTATCATCACATACATCGGCTATGGCGTCCTCGTCGTTGTCGGACATATCCGGGACTTCCTGCGGTCACAAGGATTTGAAAAGACAAAGGCAATTACAGAAATTAAACTTCCCGTAAGTTGTGTAATAACCAAATAGATTGCATTTTGACTGTTCTCTCTGGATTGTTCTCTCGATTGTTCTCTCTGGATTGTTCTCTCGATTGTTCTCTCTGGATTGTTCTCTCGATTGTTCTCTCTGGATTGTTCTCTCGATTGTTCTCTCTTGATTGTTCTCTCTCGATTGTTCTCTCGATTGTTCTCTCTCGATTGTTCTCTTGATTGTTCTCTCGATTGTTCTCACGATTGTTCTCTCGAATGTTCTCACGATTGTTCTCTCTTGATTGTTCCAGCAAAGACCTGAACCAAAACTGTAACAATGATGACAGTTTTGTTTTGTTTTTTAAAATATGTACTCCAGCAAGAAAATATGGTAATACTTAAAGGCAGAATGCAGTAATATATTTTGTCATTGTTTTGTCATATTTTTTTTAAGATCAAATTTCAGGAATTTCGACTAAATATGTGTAATATAAGTAATGTAATCAACTTGGTCTGAACAAAATATTAGTAAATGGCCCTCTCTTATTTTCACTCTGACCATGAATAGCATTATTACAATTCCAAAATATAAGCTCCATTTAGCCCCTGCTTTGGAAGAATAAGTTGCTTAGTGCATCAATTGCATTTAGAGCAATGCCCCCAAAATAACATCTTTCTTCTGATAGAGTATATTTTGAATTTCAAAGTAAGTGATCTAAAACAGTATTCACCTACTCACTTGAAGTACTTCTTGTACCTTTCTGATATTGGTTAAGGCTGCCATGTCAAATGGTGTTATATTTATCCCCTGCCACGAAGTGGAAGGGGGATATAGGAATGGGTGCTGTCCTTCCATCCTTCCGTCCGTCCCATCTGTTACATTTCGTTTCCGGAGCAGATCTTGAAAACCGTACCATATTTCTTCACCAAACTTGGCACATAGATAAGTCTAGTGGTGAACTGGTGCCTTTTTATAGTTTGGGATTTAAAAAAATAATTTTTTTTCGAGTTTCCATGGCAACGACTTTGACTTAGACTGAAAATGGCGGTAGTCCTCGTTTCGGGAGCAGATCTTGAAAACCGTACCATGTTTCTTCACCAAACTTGGCACATAGATAGGTCTAGTGGTGAACTGGTGCCTTTTGATAGTTTGGGATTTAAAAAAAAATAATTTTTTCGAGTTTCCATGGCAACAACTTTGCGGTAGTCCTCGTTTCGGGAGCAGATCTTGAAAACCGTACCATATTTCTTCACCAAACTTGGCACATAATGTCATCTCGCAGTATTGAATACATTTCCTTTCTTGTTGGTAAGTTCTGCATTGCTTGTGTGTATGTTCCTCCAAAAATGTCATGGACACGGTTGTTGCATTCACCGACTAACTCCATGCAGAAACACAACTCATTAGAAATACAACAGTGTATCTCATCTTAAACCTACTCTACTGTATAAAAACTATATATTCTTGTCAACCATACTCTGTACTTCACTTGCTTGATAACGGTGTTAGAACCTACACCGAAACCATCGCTCCTAATTGTAATAAAGAAGTTGTTCGTCCATATGTCTCATCCTTACTCATTACAAATTCAGGAATATATTCTATCATAAACTGCAGATGGCAAAACAACACCAGTAATAACTTTGTTAGTGCTGCAATTAGGCCATTTACAAAAAGGCCCAGTGTACATAGTTCACAGGAGCTAATGCCTTGCACACAACCGGACATATTGGCGGGGGATATGAGTATTTCATGCTTGTTTTTCTTGTCATAGGGGTTTGTGCCACTCTATGCCAGTTGGGAGAGTTTCTACACACGGAATCTTTACCGCCGTGTGCGGGACTGCTGGAACCGGCCTATTTGCAGTGTGGCTGGAGCACATATGGACACACTGGAACGGGTCACTCCTGACCATGGGTGGAACTTTGAGTATGTATTCACAAGCTCATCACAGCGATGGCCATTTGGCGATTTTCTCAATTAGCTATCTTTAACACTATGATGCGAACTACCAACAGTTAGCAGCCCTACACCGCGTATACATCAAGCTCATTCCCAGCCTGTGATTCCTTCGTTTTACTCCTGGTTTTATCACAACACTATGATGCAAATTACCCACAGTAAGCAGCCATGAGTTATCTCCCCTACACCATGTATACATCAAGCTTCTTCCCAGCCTGTGACTCCTTCGTTTTACTCCTGGTTTTATCACAACACTATGATGCAAATTACCCACAGTAAGCAGCCATGAGTTATCTCCCCTACACCATGTATACATCAAGCTCCTTCCCAGCCTGTGACTCCTTCGTTTTACTCCTGGTTTTATCACAACACTATGATGCGAATTACCCACAGTAAGCAGCCATGAGTTATCTCCCCTACACCATGTATACATCAAGCTCCTTCCCAGCCTGTGACTCCTTCGTTTTACTCCTGGTTTTATCACAACACTATGATGCGAATTACCCACAGTAAGCAGCCATGAGTTATCTCCCCTACACCATGTATACATCAAGCTCCTTCCCAGCCTGTGACTCCTTCGTTTTACTCCTGGTTTTATCACAACACTATGATGCAAATTACCCACAGTAAGCAGCCATGAGTTATCTCCCCTACACCATGTATACATCAAGCTCCTTCCCAGCCTGTGACTCCTTCGTTTTACTCCTGGTTTTATCACAACACTATGATGCAAATTACCCACAGTAAGCAGCCATGAGTTATCTCCCCTACACCATGTATACATCAAGCTCCTTCCCAGCCTGTGACTCCTTCGTTTTACTCCTGGTTTTATCACAACACTATGATGCGAATTACCCACAGTAAGCAGCCATGAGTTTTCTCCCCTATTCTGTATAGATAAGGGGGCGGTCGGGTAGCCTAGTGGTTAAAGCGTTCGCTCGTCATGCCGTACACAAGGTTTTGATTCCCGACATTGATACAAAGTGTGAAGCCCATTTCTGGTGTCCCCCACCGTGAAATTGCTGGAATATTGCTAAAAGTGGCGTATAACCATACTCACTCACTCACTCACTCAATGTATACACAAGTTCCACACAGCAATAACCTGTTCACGAAGCTCTCTATTCTATCGCTGCCGCCAGTCAAAGCTGGTGATACTTGCAACCGACTAACCATTATGTTTCCAAACAAGTGATGACAGTCGAGACGTCGAACACTCTTTCCCCAGCTGTTATTTTCTTTGTTTGTCAATTTGAGTTTCTATTTCATGTCAACTATAAAGTAGTTGGTATAGTAAGAATGTAAGGGGGTAGTTGGGTGATTTTCCGTTAGTCTGCAACCTTGAACCAATCTGACACAAACAAAAATTTAAGCGTGACTACATTTGGGCTTTGAGGGCAAATTTATAGATTCTTGGCAGCTGGTGTTAGAGGGCAAATTTATAGATTCTTGGCTGCTGGGGTTAGAGGGCAAATTTATAGATTCTAGGTTGCTGGTGTTAGAGGGCAAATTTATAGATTCTTGGCTGCTGGTGTTAGAGGGCAAATTTATAGATTCTAGGCTGCTGGTGTTAGAGGGCAAATTTATAGATTCTAGGCTGCTGGTGTTAGAGGGCAAATTTATAGATTCTAGGTTGCTGGTGTTAGAGGGCAAATTTATAGATTCTTGGCTGCTGGTGTTAGAGGGCAAATTTATAGATTCTAGGCTGCTGGTGTTAGAGGGCAAATTTATAGATTCTAGGCTGCTGGTGTTAGAGGGCAAATTTATAGATTCTAGGTTGCTGGTGTTAGAGGGCAAATTTATAGATTCTTGGCTGCTGGTGTTAGAGGGCAAATTTATAGATTCTAGGTTGCTGGTGTTAGAGGGCAAATTTAAAGATTCTAGGTTGCTGGTGTTAGAGGGCAAATTTATAGATTCTTGGCTGCTGGTGTTAGAGGGCAAATTTATAGATTCTAGGTTGCTGGTGTTAGAGGGCAAATTTAAAGATTCTAGGTTGCTGGTGTTAGAGGGCAAATTTATAGATTCTTGGCTGCTGGTGTTAGAGGGCAAATTTATAGATTCTAGGTTGCTGGTGTTAGAGGGCAAATTTAAAGATTCTAGGTTGCTGGTGTTAGAGGGCAAATTTATAGATTCTTGGCTGCTGGTGTTAGAGGGCAAATTTATAGATTCTAGGTTGCTGGTGTTAGAGGGCAAATTTAAAGATTCTAGGTTGCTGGTGTTAGAGGGCAAATTTATAGATTCTTGGCTGCTGGTGTTAGAGGGCAAATTTATAGATTCTAGGTTGCTGGTGTTAGAGGGCAAATTTAAAGATTCTAGGTTGCTGGTGTTAGAGGGCAAATTTATAGATTCTTGGCTGCTGGTGTTAGAGGGCAAATTTATAGATTCTTGGCTGCTGGTGTTAGAGGGCAAATTTATAGATTCTTGGCTGCTGGGGTTAGAGGGCAAATTTATAGATTCTTGGCTGCTGGGGTTAGAGGGCAAATTTATAGATTCTAGGCTGCTGGGGTTAGAGGGCAAATTTATAGATTCTTGGCTGCTGGTGTTAGAGGGCAAATTTATAGATTCTAGGTTGCTGGTGTTAGAGGGCAAATTTATAGATTCTTGGCTGCTGGTGTTAGAGGACAAATTTATAGATTCTTGGCTGCTGGTGTTAGAGGGCAAATTTATAGATTCTTGGCTGCTGGGGTTAGAGGGCAAATTTATAGATTCTTGGCTGCTGGGGTTAGAGGGCAAATTTATAGATTCTTGGCTACTGGTGTTAGAGGGCAAATTTATAGATTCTAGGTTGCTGGTGTTAGAGGGCAAATTTATAGATTCTAGGTTGCTGGTGTTAGAGGGCAAATTTATAGATTCTAGGTTGCTGGTGTTAGAGGGCAAATTTATAGATTCTTGGCTGCTGGTGTTAGAGGGCAAATTTATAGATTCTAGGTTGCTGGTGTTAGAGGGCAAATTTAAAGATTCTAGGTTGCTGGTGTTAGAGGGCAAATTTATAGATTCTTGGCTGCTGGTGTTAGAGGGCAAATTTATAGATTCTTGGCTGCTGGTGTTAGAGGGCAAATTTATAGATTCTTGGCTGCTGGGGTTAGAGGGCAAATTGATAGATTCTAGGGAGCTGGGGTTAGAGGGCAAATTTATAGATTCTTGGCTACTGGTGTTAGAGGGCAAATTTATAGATTCTAGGTTGCTGGTGTTAGAGGGCAAATTTATAGATTCTTGGCTGCTGGTGTTAGAGGGCAAATTTATAGATTCTTGGCTGCTGGTGTTAGAGGGCAAATTTATAGATTCTAGGCTGCTGGTGTCAGAGGGCAAATTTATAGATTCTAGGTTGCTGGTGTTAGAGGGCAAATTTATAGATTCTTGGCTGCTGGTGTTAGAGGGCAAATTTATAGATTCTTGGCTGCTGGTGTTAGAGGGCAAATTTATAGATTCTTGGCTGCCACACTGAGTGTAACAAAGGTGTCACGCACTGGGAAAGAGTTTGTGTGTAATAGAGTAAGGGAGATAACTCATGGCTGCTTATTGTGGGTAATTTGAATCATGGTACAGTAGTGGAAGATTTTTTTTTGGAGAGCAATATTTTTTTTTTGTCTGTTGTTTAACGCCGCACTCAGCAATAGGGAGAGAAATAAAGTAACCAGGTGCTAAGGAGGCCAGTAGCATGTTAAGGTCGGGATGTAGCAGTAATTAAATAGAGATTGTTTGTTTTGTTTGTTTGTTGTTTAACACTGCGCTCAGCAATATTCCAGTCTTGATCAGACTATCCAGTGATTGACATGGTGAGCATTGATCTGCGCAATTGGAATATGATGACATGCATCAACCATGTCAGCGAGCCTGACCTGGCAATCCAATTGGTTGCCTCTTGTGACAAGCATGGTTTGCTAATCTGGATATTGAAGGGGGTAATAACTGCCTTTGTTGGGTCAACTTTGTGCATTATTGATAGAGTTGCATAGAGAAAGGACTTGGTGTATTGGTAGAAGTTTGAAAATGTGTTGACAAACATATCATTTTACATTCAAACACAACTCACGTAAATGTAAATTCAGTGTAAACGTGAAGAAAAAATATATGCCTTCAAATATCCTTAAAAAAAATATGGATTTTATTTCTCATGTCAACAAATTTTTATTAAAGGCTGACAGGCAAGAAGAAAACTGTTATGAACTTTGGGTCGTACAACTACCTCGGTTTTGCCGAAAACACAGGGCCATGTGCTGAAGCTGTGGAGGTCACCACCTTGGAGGAGGGGGTGGGAGTGTGTGCCAGTAGACAGGAACTGGGTGAGTAGTATGGAGGAGGGGGTGGGTGGGTGTGCCAGTAGACAGGAACTGGGTGAGTTGTTTGGAGGAGGGGGTGGTTGTGTGTGCCAGTAGAGAAGAACTGGGGGAGTTGTATGGAGGAAGGTGTGGGTGTGTGTGCCAGTAGACAGGAACTGGGGGAGTTGTATGTAGGAGGGGGTGGGTGTGTTTGCCAGTAGACAGGAACTGGGTGAGTTGTATGTAGGAGGGGGTGGGTGTGTGTGCCAGTAGACAGGAACTGGGGGAGTTGTATGTAGGAGGGGGTGGGTTTGTGTTTGCCAGTAGACAGGAACTGGGTGAGTTGTATGTAGGAGGGGGTGGGTGTGTTTGCCAGTAGACAGGAACTGGGTGAGTTGTATGTAGGAGGGGGTGGGTGTGTTTGCCAGTAGACAGGAACTTGGTGAGTTGTATGGAGGAGGGGGTGGGTGGTTGTGTGTGCCAGTAGACAGGAACTGGGTGAGTTGTATGGAGGAACGGAAGGGCGTGTGTGCCAGTAGACAGAAACTGGGTGAGTTGTATGGAGGAGGGGGTGGGTGTGTGTGCCAGTAGACAGGAACTGGGGGAGTTGTATGGAGGAGGGGGTGGGCGTGTGTGCCAGTAGACAGGAACTGGGTGAGTTGTATGGAGGAGGGGGTGGGGGTGTGTGCCAGTAGACAGGAACTGGGTGAGTTATATGGAGGAGGGGGTGGGTGTGTGTGCCAGTAGACAGGAACTGGGTGAGTTGTATGGAGGAGGGGGTGGGTGTGTGTGCCAGTAGACAGGAACTGGGTGAGTTGTATGGAGGAGGGGGTGGGTGTGTGTGCCAGTAGACAGGAACTGGGTGAGTTGTATGGAGGAGGTGGTGGGTTTGTGTGCCAGTAGACAGGAACTGGGTGAGTTATATGGAGGAGGGGGTGGGTGTGTGTGCCAGTAGACAGGAACTGGGTGAGTTGTTGTATGGAGGAGGGGGTGGGCGTGTGTCCCAGTAGACAGGAACTGGGTGAGTTGTATGGAGGAGGGGGTGGGCGTGTGTGCCAGTAGACAGGAACTGGGTGAGTTGTATGGAAGAGGGGGTGGGTGTGTGTTTGCCAGTAGACAGGAACTGGGTGAGTTGTATGGAAGAGGGGGTGGGTGTGTGTGCCAGGAGACAGGAACTGGGGGAGTTGTATGGAGGAGGTGGTGGGTGTGTTTGCCAGTAGACAGGAACTGGGTGAGTTGTATGGAAGAGGGGGTGGGTGTGTGTGCCAGGAGACAGGAACTAGGTGAGTTGTATGGAGGAGGTGGTGGGTGTGTTTGCCAGTAGACAGGAACTGGGTGAGTTGTATGGAAGAGGTGGTGGGTGTGTGTGCCAGGAGACAGGAACTAGGTGAGTTTGTATGGAGAAAGAACAGCTGAAATATATTACCTGGTATGTCCTTTCTTCTTGAAACTATAAACCAATTAAATGGGTTATTGCTCTTCTGCTTCCAGGTTATTTGGAAATTCACAAGGAACTGGATGAGTTGATGGCTGAATTCCTGGGAGTCGAGGCGGCTGTCACCTTCCCAATGGGCTTCGCCACTAACTCTATGAATATGCCTGCCCTCGTGAAGAAGGTTAGTGGGATGATGGTCAAAAGGAAAGATCAGCTACTGGGCTCTGGATTGATGGGGAATCCCTCATCAATGTGTTATGAGAATTTGTATCACAGAATGTTGGTACAATAGCATTACAAAGAAACTTTTCATGCATTAATAATGTTTTTGAGTAACACTGACGTTTGATATTAACAAGAAGGATCTGAGAAATTTGAAATGTATTTGACTTGCAAGTTTCACTTGTCCCAGAAACAAGTGCCATGAGATACATTGTATGCTGACTTATGTCTTTCAACCTGATACTGATACCTGGATGTCCGCCATGTGTCATGATTCATGTTTCGCTGTTTCCAGGGCTGCCTCATCCTGAGTGATGAACTGAACCACGCCTCCCTTGTCCTGGGAGCTCGCCTTAGTGGAGCTACAATCAGAATATTCAAGCATAATAGTAAGTAGGGGTTCGACGATACACCAACTGTCCTATCCGATACGTATCACGATACCTTGCTCACGATCCGATACATATCACAATACTTGCATGTGCTTTTATCTGTGATGCGCCATGTTTTTTATAGACATGATGGCCAAATACCTGGCACACTAAGGAACACTAAAAATAATGCAAAGGGACAATATTGGGCTCATAGATTCAAAGATATCTTCCCGAGGCAAGAGAGTTCACTGACTTTAAAAGTCCAGTTTCCACCCTTCCCAAACTAGGCAGGTATTATGGAGTAACATTTTGGCTGGACTAACAAGTCTATGCATAGTCATGCAATGAAATTGAAATCCGGTAGATTAACTGTCGTGCAGATTTCGGTCGATTGCAGGATTTGCAAAGCATGTGCACCGCCAACTCGTTGTCGTGTTTTTAATCAAATGGGTATGAGAGGTGGAATCTGATTGGTCCATAAGAGAGACTTAGAAGGGACATAACTCGTAATAGCAACTGGTGGCGCTATGATCGTGAGCAGGAATTCCAGCCTATTTCGGCAAGGGTAGAAACTGGACTTTTATAGTCAGTTAACTCTCTTGCCTCAGGAAGATGATTCAAAGACTAATGGAATGTTGCCAAAAAAACATCTTCTCAGAAACTGCTGTATCATGTGTCGTGAGATTTTACATTAATAATTACTGCCATAAGAGTGTTCTTTTAGGTCAAGTCTTTCTATGTCCTTCCACAACAAGCAGATCATCTTACATAGTAAATAGTTTTAACAAAAATTATATCTCCAGTGCAGCTATACTTTCTAAGGGAGGACATAGGACGAGGCCAGTTGGCAGTCCAGACAAGTTTCATATATTTAAGAATGTCACAGTTTCCACATGGAATGAATTACACCAAATGTACATAGACAGGACCTGGGTACCGTGGAACAAGGCCCCATTTGATGGCTGAAAATATTTATTTAACTTTTAACTAATTACAGGTGGCCCAGTCGTCTAAAGCACAGTGATTCGCTGGGCAGAGTTGCGTCCCTTGGGAACGCCAGAAACCTATGATTGTGGGTTCGAATCCTGGTTCGCCCCAATCATGTTTCTAGTTTGTCAGCACCATACCCGTGCTCGTGGGTTTCACTCACTCTAACTCATTAAAAATATGTGAACTTGAAAGATTACATAAAAGAAGTGTATAAAAAACAGTTTTTCATGAAATCTTCTCATTTTCAGATATGAAGGATTTAGAAAAGAAACTCTGTGAAGCTGTGGTCCATGGGCAGCCTCGAACTCACCGGCCATGGAAGAAAATACTCATTGTTGTAGAGGGGGTGTTCAGGTAGGAGAGATATATTATGAGGGGGTACAGGTAGGGAAGACTTGTTATAAGTGAGTGAGTGAGTTGGCTTTAACGCCGCTTTTAACATTATTCCAGTTATATCCCGGTGTGTCAGCTTAATGTGGGAAGAAAGCCCAAAGTGATGCATGTCTCAGACATTGACCACTTCAGTGAAACCCACGAGCACGGGTATGGTGCTGACAAACCTAGAAACATAATTGGGGTGAACTGGGATTAGAACCCACAATCATAGGTTTCTGGCGTGCTCAAGGGACACAACTCTGCACAGTGAATCGCGACGCCTTAGACGACTGGGCCACCCATGCCCCCTACTTGTTATAAAGGGGTACAGGTATGAGAGCCTTATAATAAGGGGGTAAAGGTAGGGGGCAGGACTTATTATGAGGGGGTACAGGAAGGAGAGACTTATTAAAAGTGTGTTCAGGTAGGGTAGACTTGTATAAGTAGGTACGTGTGAGGGAGACAGTGTATGAGGGGGTACTGTGCCATAGTTTCATTGAGCATATCCAGTTCACATGTCAAAAGTTACGGACATCCCAACTTTGACATATGAACAGAATATCTTCAATAGTGCTACAGATTGTTTTTTTTAACTGTTTTCAAATGCTTCTGAATATTCTCTTAAAGCATGGAAGGGTCAATAGTGCGACTCCCTGACATTATCGCCCTTAAGAAGAAGTACAAGGCATACATATACCTGGATGAGGCCCACAGTATCGGAGCCATGGGGCCCCACGGCCGCGGTGTCGTAGACTACTTCAATGTTGACCCACGAGACGTGGATGTGTTGATGGGTACATTCACCAAGAGCTTTGGTTCAGCTGGAGGATACATTGGAGGAACAAAGGTAACTGTAAACTCCTCGGAGGAACTTTGTATTTTGTGTTTGTTGTGTGAGAGGTGACAAGGGAAGACAACTGGGGATTTTGTGGCCAAAACAGTTCCTGACGATAGATAATCCTTGTATTTTTACAATTGCTCAAGTAACATGTCCTTGACGCTTATTCTGCTTTGCAATTCCAACTATTATGAATAATTAAGACAATAGTGTTAAGCCATTCCATATTGAAGGGTAACACTATGCAGAGTTGCTCCCCTTAGATGTGCCTGACTCGCAAGTTGTGAGTTTGAATCTCTTATTCCCTCTGGTAGAGATCCTTGGTCTGTCGGCCCATGCTGCTGGTAGAGATCCTTGATCTGTCAGCCCATGCTGCCGGTAGAGATCCTTGATCTGTCGGCCCATGCTGCTGGTAGAGATCCTTGATCTGTCGGCCCATGCTGCTGGTAGAGATCCTTGGACTGTCAGCCCATGCTGCTGGTAGAGATCCTTTGACTGTCGGCCCATGCTGCTGGTAGAGATCTTTGGTCTGTCGGCCCATGCTGCTGGTAGAGATCTTTGGTCTGTCGGCCCATGCTGCTGGTAGAGATCCTTGGTCTGTCGGCCCATGCTGCTGGTAGAGATCCTTGGTCTGTCGGCCCATGCTGCTGGTAGAGATCCTTGATCTGTCAGCCCATGCTGCTGGTAGAGACCCTTGGTCTGTCAGCCCATGCTGCTGGTAGAGATCCTTGATCTGTCGGCCCATGCTGCTTGTAGAGATCCTTGATCTGGTGAAGATCCTTGGTCTGTTGGCCCATGCTGCTGGTAGAGATCCTTGATCTGTCGGCCCATGCTGCTGGTAGAGATCCTTGATCTGGTAGAGATCCTTGGTCTGTCGGCCCATGCTGCTGGTAGAGATCCTTGATCTGTCGGCCCATGCTGCTGGTAGAGATCCTTGGTCTGTCGGCCCATGCTGCTGGTAGAGATCCTTGAACTGTCAGCCCATGCTGCTGGTAGAGATCCTTGGTCTGTCGGCCCATGCTGCTGGTAGAGATCCTTGGACTGTCGGCCCATGCTGCTGGTAGAGATCCTTGGACTGTCGGCCCATGCTGCTTGTAGAGATCCTTGGACTGTCGGCCCATGCTGCTTGTAGAGATCCTTGGTCTGTCGGCCCATGCTGCTGGTTTCCTTGTGAGTCTGTCTATCATGCTGTGATATAACCCAAATACTAATGTAGAAAAATGTGGCATTATGCCCAACACACACACACACACTTCTAACTGTATGTGTTGATTCCAGCGCCTCATCAAACACTTGAAAGTGAATTCACACAGCGCCATCTATGCTTGTGCCATCTCCCCTCCCGTAGCCAGGCAGATCATCCACTCCATGAAGATCATCATGGGCAAAGATGGAACTAACATAGGTGAGTTTCAGGAAAAGTGGACTTATGGACTTCAACTGCTATATTCTTTCAAGCTTCTAAAATTCCACTTCAAAATTTAAGCATACTGTCTTTTCAATGTAGAGCTGGCTACCCGTAGATGTAACTGCGCTGAATTGAATCTGGAACCGAACGAGCAGCATGAGGTTTCAAATGTTAAACTTAGTCTGGTTAAATCTACAGGTAACCTCGCTCTACATTGAAAACACAGTATGTTTATCTCCATTCTCCCATGACTAAATAAAACGCAAACTCTTTGGTGTTAGCAAATATTTTGAGTGAGCAGTATGGGAGAGGCCAGTGTTTTGAGTGGGTTGTTGATTGGAATTACGGAAACACTGACAACAGCCTGTAAACAAAATATGGCGCTGTATACGCAGTTTGTTTACACCGTAATACTTCACTTGAACATATGACAGGCATTGAAAGCACATAAGCACGCCAACCTCATGAGCTAACATGAGGTGGGCACCCTGAAGAAAACTTATCAAGCCTTGCAAGGCTTTTGTTCCTCACTGCATGTCACCATTGACATCATATCGCTCATTGTGACACAAAAGATATGACATCACATTTGTCCCCAGAATTAAAATACATTCTCTTTTTAGATTTCTGTTGTGATAAAGTAGAGATCATTTATGGATAACAACTTCTTTATTTACTGCAAAGGCGATGTTTCAGTATAGATCCTTGTACCGTTGTCATGCAAGGCTGAATAATGAGCACTGTACAGAATAGTGTTTTCTGATGCCTAAGACAGGATGATTCGGAAATAATATTTTATGTGGCTAGCATAAGCATAATGCCTAACTCAACTCACTCACTCTCACTCACTCGCTCACTCACTCACTCACTCACTCACTCTCACTCTCTCACTCACTCACAACTCACTCACTCACTCACTCACTCACACTCACTTGTGTATGTTAATGTTTATGGTCCAGGGCCCCGTTCCACAAAGCGAACGTAGCGCTACGACTGTCGTAAGCTAATGTTAAAGTATGGGTGTTACGATCACCTTAGCGCTACGATGGCTTTGTTGAACAGGGCCCAGTCTGGATTATGTACAGACTGCCTGCATGACAGAGTACAGCATTAAAACACAAACAAACATTTTCGCTCAAACAGTCGTACACATGAACCAGTCAAGTTCCATGAATTTAGACTCATTTTTGGATAGGGATCAAAGTTAGTTTAATTTATCATCAAGTAAATGGTTAATTTCCACTGGTCCTGGTAAACCGTTTCAGAATTGTATGCCTCAGTTGTATGTTGCACAGGTCAGAGTCGCATTCAGCAGCTGGCCTGGAATACCTCCTACTTCCGCAGAGAGCTTCAGAAAAAAGGCTTCATCGTCTACGGCAACAAGGACTCGCCTGTGGTGCCCTTGCTCTTGTACATGCCTGCCAAGACAACGTACGTGATGGATGATGTTGTGTTACATGTCATTGAGTCTAGGACAGTGTCATTTAAATCTGATCTGTTAGTCTGGTACGCTGCCTTCCTGCATGAAGATCAAACAAGCCCTCCCTAGGTTCTCGTGGCAAAGACCGCCTCCGTGGTCTAGTGGTGGAGCGTCCGCCCGGAGAGCGGAATGTCCGGGGTTCGATCCCCGCCCGCGTCATACCAAAAGACCTTTAAAGATGGTACTTGTTGTTACCCTGTCTGGCGCTCGGCATTAAGGGGCTAAAACAAGGACTGGTCGGCTCGGAGTCAGTATACTGTGTCTGAGTGGGGTATTCATGTTAAATTGCGGCACGCACACACACACACACACACACACACACACACACACACACACACACACACACAATCTTCGACGCGACATTACACCCAGTTTCACCTCACCTCACCTCGTGGCAAATGAATTTTCTAATCAGCCAATCAGCATTGGGTCTTCTCTAGATCTCTGTGGTGAAGTATCATAATGAGAGATCAGATTTCAGAGATTGAGATTGGTGCAAACACACCAGTGGTTGACGGCAAGAACCGAAGTTGTACAAGACACTCTTAGCACTGTCGAAAGTCGAAAGTCTATGTTAAGGTATGGGAGTTACCATCACCTTAGCGCTAAGATCGTTTTGTACAACAGCACCCAGGGCTGACCACAGGGCATCACACATTTATTATTCAATTCATTCTTTTGATCTTTGATTTATATTGATAATATTTTAGGGAAAACTTGTTTGTCTTTGTCTTTAACTGTTTGTAATTTCTCTTCCAGGGCATTTAGTCGTTTATGTTTGGAGCGAGGTCTCGGTATTGTGGTGGTTGGATTTCCAGCTACTCCTATCATTGAATCTCGAGCCAGGTTCTGTCTGTCTGGTGCTCATACCAAAGAGATGCTGGACAAAGTAAGTTGTGGGGAATGTAGCATTCAAAATAATGGTTTCTTCATAATGAGTGCACACAGAGTGATGGTCGTTTTGTACACATAATAAATGGATGAACAAAAATACTTGTGCCAGGAGCTGAATTGTTTCGTACAATGGATACTTTTAACAACAAAGGAGTGTTTCAGATTTATTACTGTAGTCAGGCAAGGTATCGAAACCAATGGTGGTGTTATTGCAGAAAGAACTTGGGCGAACTAGGGCAGAATATTATACAGTCGTGCTGAGACCAATCTCACCCCATCCCCAACCCCCTCCCCATAATAAATGACCGATCCCTTACAATTTCTGGGTAAAAATGTATAAATGTCAGAAAGTATGAAGTGTATGACGTGTGCTTGATGACTTCTTTGCCAAGGTAAAGGTACCTGAGATCAATAGGATTGAAGATTGTATCTGTGATTTTTCAGGCCCTGATGATTATTGAAGATGTGGGGAACAAGTTGCATCTGAAGTACTCACGTCTGCCAGTTCCAACATACACGCGTAAGGATGACCCAGAGCCCCATCTTCAGGTAACCTTGACCTTTATTGTAGCCTTGACCTAAATCACAATGTTGCCATGCTGTTAGGCGTTGTCATTAAATACATCTACTCAATAGGGTAGGGCTTTGTAATTGCTGGCACTAGTGATAAGTCCTTCTGGAGCCGTGCGTAATAAAGAATGGCAGATTTGATCTTTAAAAACTCTAAAAATGATTTTCAGCACCTTGTAAATAAAATAAGTAGATAAATGTTCTTAAACATCAGGTCAAAACATGAGAATCTGTTACAAAAGTGGCCACAAAAATCAAGAATTCAACATTTTCATATTAAGTTTTTTATCCCACATCAAACATTTGAACTGGTCCCTAATGAATGCATATGCATACCAACTTTTAAAACCCAGTCTGGAGAAGTTATATTTTACAGAGTTATGGCCCTTGTCATGTGTTTTTGGACAAGGTTCACAGTACCTCAAACTTGGACATATTTTAGCAAAAGCCATTATGGATACAATGATACATTTTCCATACATTATGGGAAAATATGTTGATTGAATTCAAAAACCATCATTGAAAATTATGGCATGTGATTGATGATTTGGCCAATGAAGGATCAGATGATTCAGACATGGTGCCCATCAGGACAAGTTTTCTCGGAAATATCAATATGACAATTTGAATACAGCACTCCGTGATGAATGTGGTGTTAAGGTTGAAAATCACCATCTAGAATTAATATCTTACAAAACCAAGGCCTTTTTTTTATATCTATCCCTCAGAGCTCCAGATAAGCTTTTGGTGTTGTGGGTATTTTACCCATGCATTTTAAAATCATTGGGTATCAGTAATTCTACCTGCATGAGTATTCAAATTTCTGTTGCCCACTAGTTTTTACACATGTGGGTATTAAGTTAAATATTTAAAAACACTATCTAGTCCCTGCAAACTGGTGTTGTGTGTGTTCGAGAGCTTTATAGGACTCAAAAATACCATGATACTTCCACAAGAAAGTGTGATGTCAAATGATCATGATGTAACTGTCATCGTGGAGTTTGGCAAGGTTGACGGAATGCCCGTTTATAATTTCAAAATAAGTTGCTGATTTGCTAATCGAATACGCAGGGTTACTTCACAATATTTTGATGATACGCACAAGTTTTATTTTTGTAGCGTATCTGTAATGTTCGTTGCGTATTTGATACGCTTGGATTTTATTTTACTGCGTATTTCTGATGCGTATTTTACGCATATACACAGCTTATCTGGAGCTCTGATCCCTCGTCCAATCATAGTCTCTTTTCAGTTGTAGTCAAAGAAGAATGGCAGGGGATATGGATGACTTTTGTTTTGGGTGGTGTTAAACAACCTCCTTCCAAATGCTTTCTATGCTCTGAAACTCCAATGTTTCCCTGTTGTTTTGAAAACTGATATTTCACCTATGACTTCTCTTGTTTTCAGTGAAATACTCCAAGCACGTCCCGAAAACCAGGAACAAAGTGTATGTTACGAACATGCACCTCTGCATGGTGATGTCGGCCATTTTGAATGTCTTCGTCACTTTGTGGACCAAGTCCATCAGCTCAAGTGTTTACCGTTTGTTGCCATGGTTACCTGCATGAAATCTCACAATGATCTCGCCAACCAAGTATGAAGACTATACGCTCAACATCCTAACATAGACTTGTTCACCAACACAAAGCCAATGTAATCAGAAGTGTGATGTTCAACAGAAATCCAAGGATGCGTGAAATGCAGAACTTTCTACCTGGGTGTTTTACTGATCCACATGACACAAAGAATATTTGTGTATGTTTGCTTTAGGGCTGGGACGAATCCAAGTTAACTCCCCGGGTACCCATCCCCCTATTACCTGACCCTACCTGGGTACCCACTGTAGGTCTCAAGAGATCGATATAAATTGTCCAATTTGGAATAATTTGACTGTAGCCCTGGCAAAATGTATTTAGATACACATACTGTATAAGACGATCTGGTTATGCGTACACTGATGTTGACTGAAGTTTTATCTTTATTCAGACATATAAATGTCAGAAAGAATGGGTGCATAGTCAGAAACAAATGTGGACACTAGTGACTTGTAGTGTTCTAGATAGGTTTTGCCATTAAACAATATATCAGGTGACTAACCACGAGTCCGGGTAGTCCTGTGGGTAACTGGGTCCTACTTAGGACCCACCCAACCCGAGTACCCGAGTTACCCGTCCAAGCCCTAGGTTGCATATCTTTAACTGCTCAATTTAGGAAATGATTACCATGGTTTAGACATGAAAGAAAGATGTCCCCAGGACTATCAAGTTCCATATTGGTATTTTGAAAATATCACAATATATCAGAAGTCAATTATTGGCACTGTAGAAAGTATGGAAGATGCTGAATAGAAGGTTTATGAATGACGAGTAAAAGATTTCAGTTTATCAAATTTATTAAAGTATGTCATTTCAAAGAGTTTCTATAATTACTGTTGTTAATAATACATAAAGAATAATTACATAAGGTTAAATATTTTCAAGGAGCAATAATTTGATTTGTATTAATATCCCCATTTTGTGTATCAAGGTACACGTTGTAACAACCTACAATACTACAGTAGTGTCGTCATGAGATGAGTCACCAGTCAGTCACTCATTAATAGATGTAATGTTTTAGGTATTTTGATGAGTTCAAAGTTGTATATATCTGTAGTACAACTGAAGGTTGACCGTGAAGTTTCTGTGAACATACGCTAAATATGTTTTTGATGAAAGCTCATCTGACATGAGGTATTGTTTTGCAGCTACGTTTGTTATTATTTATTGCTTGTTGGGTGTTATCTATTTATTTGAATAAGTCCTTTTCAAAACCTTGTTTATCATGACCTTCACCTTGTTTCATTATGCACAGCATACAGATAAGGATTAAAAATAGGGATAATCGTAGAACTAATTTCATAACTTCTGATACGTCGAGTACGTGGAAATAACAAAACCTCGTTCTCTCCATCTGTACTTCCAAGGTAGTAGAGTGCCAATATAATTCTGTTAGTCATGGGGGCCACAAGTAATTATTAGATTTTCTATCTTTAATTTCAAATGTGTGATGAAGACATAATCTGTTATTCTTTTAAGAACAAAATCAGAAACATATGTTTAGTTTAACTTTCAATGAATTTGATTCACAGGAACTATGGACAATGTATATCATGACGTTATGAAAGTAAGGAATGCATACAAAGATGTTTTGTCGTATGTAAGTACTTGCAAACAATCAAATTATGTATGTGAGGTGGGTATTTGGTATTGAGGTAGGCAGGGATGAAAATCTAATAAATTTGTTGTGGCCTAAACATTCTCCCAGCCCTATAAAGTAAACCGTTTCTGTTGACGAGGTTTCACGGTACATCTTATCTGACTTGTCCAAATCTGTGTTACACAGCGTCAAATAATGAGAAATATCGTGAATCTGAGAACCATAAGTTAACACTGTCTATATGTAGCAGGGCATGGAGTCATCCCACAGATGACATCCTTACCTTGTCAGCTTGCTGACGGGGTTATCTCTTTGGTCATGTGGATAAGGCGTTCAACCTCTGATCAGAAGGTCTGTGGTTCGAATCCCATCACTCAGAAATTTTATGGCCGCTACATTGGCGCCCAACGCGGGGCTGAGCGTGTTCATATTAACTTTGAGCAAAATAAGCCTCAGTACCCTACCATGCCGCCCGGGACATTCCTTCTGTTGACAGGGGAGTAATACCACTGCTGCTACCATACTCAGCAGGCTGACAAGGTAAGGATGTCATCTGTGGGATGAGGATGTCATCTGTGGGATGAGGATGTCATCTGAGGGATGACAACACGCCCCGCTACATATATATCAAATTGAAAACACTTGAAAGATAATGGCAAATGCCCCCCCCCAAAAAAAAAATAAAAAAATTAGCTCTCATTTCAACAATTTGATATCCCAAAGACCTTAATGTTTCATAGTTTCGAGAATTCCATTGTTTTGCATACAGTTTTTTCCATTTCCATTTATCAAAGAGTCATTTGCATATCAAAACTTTGGATTCTTTTTGCAAATTGTTTTCTCTCTTCTGGACAATTATCACAATAATAGCAATAGTACAATGCAAGATTAACAGACAGGGAAAAGGTTTTGAGATTTTGAAAGCTTCATGAATTCGGAGTCTTTTCCAGGGGAGATAATCGTAATGCGAACACGGGGACACTTCTTTACGGTGACTTCATGGTGTATGCATTTACAGTTCTGAGGAGTTGATGTCAGAAGAGTCTCTTCTTGTTTCCCAGGAGAATAAGGTAGTGCTTCTCTGATTTCTTTACAAATACACACGAAGCCTGCACCTTAACACAATTACCTAGCGTACAATATTACGACACACGCTATGTAGAATACAGTGGAATCCCATTGCAAAATTGTCCTTACAAGCTTTTTTAAAATCAGTATTTTTGGGAAAAGTTTGTTTTAATTAACTAATGTATTGATGCATAGTAGTTTGTATAGTGAGTTCATTTATCAATACAAAAAAAGTTTGTGTATTTAGGACTTTATTTTTAATGGTTTGTCTACAGTAAAGCTAATAAAAACCCTACTCCCTCACTCACTGAATCTGCAGGTGTAATGTAATGGAACTGTGAAAGTGATGTCCACGTTTGACGAGACTAAAAACAGCAACTGTTTGACCGCCGTCATATACTTGTAGCTGGAATATTGCTGAGTGAGGCGTTAAACAACAAACAAACAAACAAAAACTTTCTTTTGACATCATCGGACAAGTACTCATCTCCTATCTGATCATGAAGTTTTTGTCTGACATGATGTGAATAACTATGCATCTACAAGTACATGCATTAGTAACAATACTGTGAATGTGATTTTAGAATATTTTTATATGACTATTTATCAAACAGTTTACTGAATAGAAACATTATTTATGACATGTTGATCTTGATTGTGATGGATCTCGCCAGAAATCACTCCAGTCTTGATAATATTTGGGTATTGCTTGCTGATTTACAAAGATCAGCTGTTTTGTGTTTAGTTTTCAGTCACTATATTGTGTATACATTTTAACATTTTTGAAGTCATAATTTCCCCCAAGTTTGGGTAAAAATAAGATTACTATGGTATTCACCTGATTTGGTTAACATAAGACAACCATGGTATTCACATGATTTGGTTAACATAAGATTACTTAGGTATTCACATGATTTGGTTAACATAAGATTACTATGGTATTCACATGATTTGGTTAACATAAGATTACTATAGTATTCACATGATTTGGTTTGCATAAGATTACTTTTGTATTCACATGATTTGGTTAACATAAGATTACTATAGTATTCACATGATTTGGTTAACATAAGATCACTGATATAAATATGATTTGGTTAGCATAAGATTACTGTGGTATAAATATGATTTGGTTAACATAAGATTACTGTGGTATAAATATGATTTGGTTAACATAAGATTACTTTGGTATTCACATGATTTGGTTAGCAAAAGATTACTGTGGTATAAATATGATTTGGTTAACATAAGATATGGTCTCCCGGCTGCAAACTAGTTGGTTAATGCATTTAAACCTTTGCTTGAGACATTACCAGATACCAGAAATGAGACAGCACCGTGTGTAAGGGTCCAGTCAGTTTTGTAAGGGGGAAAGGGGGCAGGGCAGGACCACTGAAAAACAGGTTCTGGAGAATTGTTTTAAATTGAATGCAATTTTTAGTGGGGTCTTAAGAAAAGGGCGACAAGAATTTTATTTTTAAATAATATTTGATATGCTTTTTAGGATAAACGTCTATGGCAATTGTCCTTAGGACAGCCATGAAAACTTTTTACAAGTTAAGGAAGGGTCACCATGGAAACTGAATTCATCTGTTGTATATATGAGGGGAAAGAGCATCTCGGGCACAGACCCCTACGAAAAAATTATTTGTCTCTAAAGTTCAGCACATCTTACACTGAATGTAACCATTGTACCATCATATAGTGAGATTTTTATGAAGTGTGTTAGAATTCTCTAGATGTACATATACCGGTATATGTTTACCTCCAACACTGCTGATGCCTTTTCAACAGTTGCACTGGCTGATATTTTTTATGCAGTTTTTTGGCCAGGTAGTTTTTTTTCTCTGGCATTTTTCTAATTGTTGAGAAGGTAGAGTTTCATAATACCACCATTTATGTGATAAACTATAAGTGGGATGTTGGCATCCAAGGGATTGGACATATTGTCAGTAAGAGAGTGATCGAACAGGACGTTATTCACATGTACTTTTTATAAGAAGTACCCTTTTCTGGTTATGGTGCTTGACAATTTTAATTTTAGCCATTTTGGAAATTGAATGATTACCAAGTGTATTATAAGGCATATGTGATATCTTGGAATGTGACCAAGAGTTGTATTTGTGTTTGGGAGTTTATGGGGAGACATATCTCAGTTTTCATGCCAGACTAACTTCCTAACAGTGGATTACAAGACCATTTCCTGGTTTATGGATTGTCTTGGTCAGTATGAAGAGGGTAGCGTTATAAAAATATGGCAGCATAATCATTAAAACAAGAACCGGTCTGGCTAAGAAACTGACCAATAAGCAGGCAGGTTACAGTCTGTCTGGCTGAGAAATTGACCAATAAGCAGACAGGTTACAGCCTGCTCAGACAAGTCCCTGTGTTAAGAGGGATATTGATGTACTTATATCCTTACTTACATCCTATGTTGTATGCATGTTCAAGTGAGCGATCTTGACATTGCCCGAACATGTGATTTCATTGGTTCATAAGAAGTATTTTACATCTGCATTTCAGGCCTGATATTAAGTAAATGGTTCATTATCAATGTTTGGAAATTTCTGCTACCATGTATATGATAATGTTACCTTGAAATGCCTGTCTTTTGGAATTGTCATCGTCAGTACTTCACAGGTGTGTTGCTTCCACATCAGGCAGTTCACAAAAGGGACATGTAATAAGGAGGCCTGATTTGACTTCTGTGATGTATGCATGAACTCATTAATTTTGTTTGGCTGACTAAATAAGACACCCATTGCCATAGGAGGGGTGGGGGTATTTTTATCTTTACATATTTATCACATGTGATGAAGGAAAATTGTGTTAATGAGCCTTTGAAGTATTGACAATGAACTATTGTTTGAGGAAGCAAGAAAATGTTAGTAGGAATTTTTCATTTTCATGATTATTCATAAATTTGGAACTTTTATTTCCACTGTTTACTGCTGTGTGGGTGTAGTGTGTGTAAAATTCAAATATGAAATTGTCCATATTTTGATTTGTTTTACCAGTATGTAAATAATTGATAGGCTATACTGTTGATTATGAAATCACCTGTTTCTTGAGATATATATTATTTTACGATTGTTATAGAGATATATTGCCTTTTGTTATTTCTACACATATTCTGCATATTACGGGGAAACATTCACATTTGCCTTACACTGAAATCCAATGCACATTTCCACGATCCCTCTGTGATTCATATCAGAAAGCACATTCTGAGTTATTATTGTCAGTAATTGTTGTGAAGTCAGATTAATATGTTATATTTGAGTATCTTGAAAAATATATTTGTTCATGCAGATGACACTGACAAGGGGCAGCAAATTGAATGTGTAAGATCAGATTTACAATTTTGGGGGTTCCATTCTGACTAATAAAATATGGCTTTTGTCACTCCTAGTGGAAAGATATCAAAAGAACAGAGGTGAAATTATGGCAAAGTATAGATTCATGAGAATTGATTGCGACAATAATTTGTCACGTCTTGTAAATGTGATGCAACAGGAACACAGCCTTGAACCAGTCTCTGTAAGATGGGTTTCATTGCAACATGGGCAGGTTGGGGGAGCGTTCAGGTACACAAACATAAATATTATCTCAAAACACTTATGTAGATGCAGGTTGGTGTGTTAAGCATTCAGTTGAGATGCTTGGTGGGTGTGATTAAACTATTACCCAGTCTGTAAAGATTGGATCTGGTAGAATTTCTTCTGACTAATGAGCTTGCTAGCTACAAGCCATACATTGAAATCTTCTAGCACTTCTGGGCACATATCCTCCAAACATTTGGGCAAAGACTGTTACAAACAAACAACATAGGTGGAAAAAACAAGTTTGAATCTGATCTTGCTACTGTCAGTGTCTGTATTTTGCTACAGTCAGTGTCTGTATTTTGCTACTGTCAGTGTCTGTATTTTGCTACTGTCAGTGTCTGTATTTTGCTACTGTCAGTGTCTGTATTTTGCTACAGTCAGTGTCTGTATTTTGCTACTGTCAGTGTCTGTATTTTGCTACAGTCAGTGTCTGTATTTTGCTACAGACAGTGTCTGTATTTTGCTACTGTCAGTGTCTGTATTTTGCTACAGTCAGTGTCTGTATTTTGCTACTGTCAGTGTCTGTTGATTTAGGGAATATCAGTTTGTGTATTTTCCATGAATATAGTTTTACAAGCAGACATAGCTCTGCCTGGATCCATGGGTAATGGGTTTTTATCAATCCCAGGTTTGCCCTGATTATCATCCTTGGTCTGTCAGCACCATACACACGTGCATGGGTTCCACGGAAGTGGAAAATGTCCACGTCCCGTCACACTTTGGTGTTTGTCCCACATTAAGCCGACAGGCGTATTATAATGGATGAACTGTTGAAAGTGTTGTTAAACTCGCTCAATACAAACCACTCTGCCTTCTGTCCCAGTCAGCATGTACACTGTACAGGGACAAGTAAAGAGGCAGTGTCGATCAATGCTTCTCCATCAAACTTCATTTACAGACCACCAGAAATGATATCAAGTAAAACAGTTAAAGTCGAACACTTTTCTGAAGGCAGGAAATTGGTAACTTGACATTTTTTAGTATACAATTTTCTGACACCACACTGCAAAGTTCACTTCAAAAAGAAATTACTTTGACCTGCTTGTTGGCCAGAATTTATTGAACTGCGGTATTAAAATGTTCAACTTTCAGAAATAGATAGCTATTGATATATGGTTTTTTTTACCTCCTTGGCAGTGGCCCAATAGTTTGCCTTTGTTTATAGGCTCAAACATGAAATATAGCATTCCAGTGGGTACACCATGACGTCGGGCACTTGCTGAGTTTTGACTTCTTCCTGTCGACAGCATGCTTGCGACTCTGTCCACCTGTATGCCAGTACCAGCACCTTTTGCTGAAGTTTGTTGATCAAGTTTACAGTCAGTGTTATACAGATGGTGCAGCAGCACCGATGATATTTACAAATTGCTGTCTGTTACACATTTGTAATTTTGAGTCTTGCTCAGGTTGTGAAGTAAACATATTCTGAGCAAAAGACAATATATGTATTAATCCTGCGTACACCATTATGCCGTGAGGCTGTGTATATAGTATTAAAGTCAACATGTATTGCCCCTCCTATACTGAAGTCCATGTTATTGTTAATTATTTTCAGCATGAATTCCTACATTATACAGTTTATGGTTAATGCTGAGTGGACATATATTTTGCATTTACACATATTGTTTATGTCCATGAATGAGGAAAGCCAGTGGTTGTAGACATTATTGCTAAAATGGATAGAATTATCATTAAACCGCCCGTATGTTATCAGAAATGAGCGGGCCACTGTAACTTGATAATGCCCTCATATTGCTTGACGACAGGCCAATATCACGCCCATTGCTTGGTGACGTCATATGATAGGGATAGGTGACGTCACGTTCAGTAGTGACGTCATCTGGTTTGTAAAAGAGGGTCAGTGACATTCGTGTTGATTGCAGTAAATGTTTCAAATCGTTATTGTTGTTTCTTTTTATTTGATAACGAATTCCATCCATTTTAGCTTTAATAACGGTAACGCTATTTTTCAGGGCATTATCATTTACAGAAGCCCTCAGTCTTTTCAACTGCCCTCCTTCGTCGGGCAGTTAATGGAAGACCTTGGGCTTCTGCAAATGATAATGCCCTGAAAAATAGCGTTACCTCCTTTGTCGGGCAGTTATGGAAGACCTCGGGCTTCTGCAAATGATAATGCCCTGAAAAATAGCGTTATCCTTAAAGTAACAACAGCACAAGTAATGGCACAGTAACTCCATTTTCTCTGACTACTCTTGTGGCACCTCCAGTGCTAAGAGAAATGTAGTGTGGTCGTCACCTTTTGACATAGTTTCAACACATAGAACATATGAAGAGGGAAATATAAATTAAGGCTACATATTGAAATGAAAACCAGACCACTTTTTACACCACAATGATACTTATCTTCAGATATGCAACTTCAACTGAAAATGTTCTTGCCTGAAAAGTGATGACATTCAAGCCCATAACCAAAAGGCTGCATTGAAGAAACTTATTCAGGCTAGTGCCAGTTGCATCCCAATCTGCTTTTCGTCAGAAAACAAATATGGTGGAGTGGTGGAACTGGTGATGAGGTGCTTATGACTATATATAGCGACCAGTTTACTTCCAACAAGGCAGCCTAGTGGTTAAGGTGGTCGCTCGTCACACCGAAGACCTGGGTTCGATTCCTGACATGGGTACAATGTGGGAAGCCCATTTCTGGTGTCCCCACCATGATATTGCTGGAATATTACGAAAAGAGGCGTAAAAAACCACTTAGGACTATATAGCTACCAGTTTACCTCCAACAAGGCACTTAGGACTATATAGCTACCAGTTTACCTCCAACGAGGCACTTAGGATTATATAGCTACCAGTTTACCTCCAAGAGGCACTTTGGACTATATAGCTACCAGTTTACCTCCAACAATTAGAGAAATCTGAAAAATATTTCAGGAAAATTTAAATGGTCTGCTCAAGGTTATTGTTCCTGAAATCTAGTCAGCACAAGATGCTGGATGAATGTGTTGTTGTTTCTTTTTTGTCAGGAGGCAGTTTTTGTCATTAATATATATATGAAACCGGTTTGATGATTCCATTTTGTGTGTTGCTGTCATGTGCAACAACACTGGAGATTCTTGACATGGAGGTAGAAACTAACGAAACTGGTAGTCCTTGTCTTACTCCTGTCACTATTATATGTACATGTTGTAAAAGATGCATAAATATTAACTGTTTGTTAAATCACTGAGAGCATGTCACCGTCTTGTAGCTTGCCCATCACAGTACTTGACTCATTGCTTGTTTTACTGCTGCTATGTTTTACTTGCTTTGTGTATTCATATTTTTATACTGTTTGACTGCAAGATATGTTATCAATTACACTTCCTACAAAATTCAGGAAAGTAATAAAATTTTCATTATGCCTTTTATAAGCTCCTTATGTTTTTGCTCATTTGACATGTCAATGTGAGCTTGTGTCATCGTCCATCCATCTGTCTTGTGACACTACACACAACTCCTCTCTTAAGCTATAAGGCTTTTGACTCGTCACGATATGGCTGAAATACTGCCGTTGTGCGTTAAATCTTAACACTCACTATAAGGCTTTTGAACAGAGACCGAGCATCATTCGTGACCAACTCATGTTATTCCGGGACCAGCCGAATAGCGACTCGTGCCCCTCTCGTGGCAATTTTTGTGACAGGGTTCCGTCTGAGCGCAAAAGGGCATACCTAAAACAATTGTCAACTCGTTGCGCAATGGTTCACATACATTTCCCCATATATCATTTATATTTCAGATGCAATTTAAGGCACATCAGGACATGCGAAATTATACAGTAAGATTGAACACATTTAACTGTGTCTTGGGTATATTTTTAGATGTAAGACATATGTAAAAACAGAAATTATTTTTGAGGGATTCTTTGATGAAGAACTTGAAATCATACGCGCATTCTGATTGGTTTGTCGTATTTTCACACATAACATTCATCGATAGGGGGACGAGTCTTCTTGCAGGTTACGGAAAGGGGCGAGTGGCGACGAATGACCGAGCATAACACATTCTCATATCCCGGGCAACAACCAACATTGGCTCTCGTTTGGAAAAGTTTGAAATGGCTGCCATTGTTTAGCTAGAGTGAGTTATTCTGGTATTCTGTCTGTAGTTGAATACCATAGTGTACATTGCCATCTATGCACGGTTATAACAGCAAACATCTACCTACCTGGCAGGTGGGATGACGAGACTCCAGCGACTGACACAATGCAAGACCTACCAGCTGATGGTCATCAAGTGATAAACATATGTCCATGTTCCAAAGACAACCCATTGCAGAATATTGTGATATTGTGTGATATGCTATCCTAGAATGTTGTGATGTCCTGTGATAAACCTTCCCAGGATGTTGTGATGTCCTGTGATAAACCTTCCCAGGATGTTCTGATGTCCTGTGATAAACCTTCCCAGGATGTTCTGATGTCCTGTGATAAACCTTCCCAGAATGTTCAGGATGTTCTGATGTCCTGTGATAAATCTCCCCAGCGTGTTGTGATGTCCTGTGATAAACCTTCCCAGCATGTTGTGATGTCCTTTGATAAACCTTCCCAGGATGTTCTGATATCCTGTGATAAACCTTCCCAGGATGTTCAGATCTCCTGTGTTAAACCTTCCCAGGATGTTCTGATGTCCTGTGATAAATCTCCCCAGTGTGTTGTGATGTCCTGTGATAAACCTTCCCAGGATGTTCTGATGTCTTGTGATAAACCTTCCCAGGATGTTCTGATGTCTTGTGATAAACCTTCCCAGCATGTTGTGATGTCCTGTGATAAACCATCCCTGGATGTTGTGATGTCCTGTGATAAACCTTCCCAGGATGTTCTGATGTCTTGTGATAAACCTTCCCAGCATGTTGTGATGTCCTGTGATAAACCATCCCTGGATGTTCTGATGTCCTGTGATAAACCTTCCCAGGATGTTCTGATGTCTTGTGATAAACCTTCCCAGCATGTTGTGATGTCCTGTGATAAACCATCACTGGATGTTCTGATGTCCTGTGATAAACCATCACTGGATGTTTTGATGTCCTGTGATAAACCATCACTGGATGTTCTGATGTCCTGTGATAAACCATCACTGGATGTTCTGATATCCTGTGATAACCTTCCCAGAATGTTGTGATGTCTTGTGACAAGCCTTTCCAGAGTGTTGTGATAAACCTTTCCAGGATGTTGTGATGTCCTGTGATAAACCATCCCTGGATGTTCTGATGTCCTGTGATAACCTTCCCAGAATGTTGTGATGTCTTGTGACAAGCCTTTCCAGGGTGTTGTGATGTCTTGTGATAAACCATCCCAGATTTTCCCGATGTTTACTTTTAGATAAGCCATCCTAGGATGTTGTGATGTCCTGTGTTGTGCAACTGGGTCTGCCAGTACTCTTCATTCTTGATAGGTCCATGTTATGTGGCAGCCTACATTGCTGTCGGCTCACAATGATCCTAATCCAGATACATGAAAACAAGGACTCATGTGCAACTGTTGAGGGGTCCTGAACAGCAACAAATCGATAGTGACTTAAGTGAAAACACTGGCCCGATTTTAAGGCTTAACTTCCCAAGCTCCGGAAACATGTACACTTGTATGTCTGTACAGATAATGGAGAGATATTATCAAGACATTACATGTTTAGAATGAATGTTCCTAGTCATGGACAGTTAAGGAAGATGTCACGGATAGTGTTTCGAAGTACTTACGGCAAATGCTTTGTCTTTGATTGTCAACTGACTGTGCTACCAACAAGATAGCCGTTCTAATGGTGTTCCAATCAATGAGTATCATAAATCCCGGAATACGATTTGAAAAATAAATGTGTGGTTGAAAGTGATATTGTCGACCTCGTGCTTTCACCATATATATCGAGGAACAACGTCAATAACATCTTACTCGGACGTAATATTGTAATACGGTATTATACCTGAACGGGCGTGTGTTCATCTGACAACGCCAGGTATGAACACTCGTGCTTTCTGTCCCAAGCCGAGAAACATAGAGCGTCCCGAATTTGATAAATGTTAACGTAACCCAAGCAAAAGCTTTATCTCAAAATTTTATGAAGGGACATGTCCTTCAGTTTTGGCAGGTTCAAGCAGAACGGCGTTGATCAGTTGGGGGTATCCCAGTTCACCGTATCGAGGTTGCGTCTGCGTGTGTATGGGTCAGGTAGATCCAGACATGCACTTTGGTGAAACTTGGGTTTGATGCTGACAAACGTATATCCTAACGTATCCTAATCGAGAGAATATTTTGGATTTGAACCCACTTATTCTGATGTTGAGGGACATACTTTAGTAATTGATCGTAACTGCATTGTACTGATCTAATAACCTGCACTACGGTGAACGTGACGACATATTCAGGACTGAAGATATTAAACAAGTATAGGATTTCAATAATTTAATAGACTGGAACTTATGTGCATACCATTTTGTATTTGAATGAAACACAGCTGAGTTCAGCTGTCATCCGATGGGTTTTATTTCAAACAGCTACAATTCCTGAAAATGTTCGCCCAATTGTATCATTCGTTCAGCAGAAATTCAGTATGGGAGTATCTGTATACGTTGATCACAAATGTTAGAAGTTCTAGATCTACTTACTGAAGATAATAAAAGATAATTTTGTTCTTTGTGGTACGAGCTGGAACACTCCTGTAATAATTAAAACGTATAGCCACTTAATACTTAATCTAATAAAAAATTGTTTTAATGTCTATTAATTCATTGGTAATTAATACACGTGTGTGCGCGCACGCGTGCCTGCGTTAATGTTGGTTATGCAGTCGTCAAATGCTATTAAGCTATATATTACGGCGACCTGTAAATAATCCGAGTCTTGGTCAGAGAACCTGCGGTGGACATAGTGAGTGCTCATTTTCTGCCGTCTGAACACGTTGAACAACCATCCACGTCACACCTATAAACATTGTAACTGACCGACTAGGACCAACACGCTTCTTCCCCGGAACCACTGAAAAGACGACTATCGACTCTCCCTAAAATATACGTTATTTCTTTTTTACCCCAAACCAGAACTTTGTATTTTGGTGAATGGTTCTCCTCCGATTCTTTCTGAGCACCCAGGATCTTTAAAAAATATACCTGTTCTTTATTCCCATGAAATTGTTCGCCACACAGAAAAAATGAGCAGCGGTTGATTATTGGGTGATATATTGGTGTTCTGTGAAGTACTGTGGATGTCAATTTGATCAATGTGGCAACTGCGTTATTGACAGCGGACAAGACAGTTATATTTCGAAATTGTGTCAATGTTAGCAGGCGACTCTACAAAACAATTAACAAACTCCATTAATGTAGAAAAACCAGCAATTCGACACGATACATTCACCTGTTGGAATTATTCACCTTATTCATCACGTGTCGCGGCATAGCCTTACCAAAGTTGTATTCATTTATCAATGTTCGAAGAAAATTACTTCCTATTGTAATTGTTTGAGCTCTTGCGATGAGAATTCCGATATGGGAGTTTGAGGATGGTGATATTTATTGTTTTTGTATGATTATCCTTTAGATCGGGCAAAATTTTTATGTATGTATATATATATCCTGGTACAAAGGAGCTATGGCAAGGCTACCACGGTGAATATTTTAATCTCTGGTGCGCTTTGATGGTGCAATTGTTATCTCAACGGTGATTGGCTACAATCGTAGGCCCTACCCAATGGCTAACAAGGTAACGTTTATGACAAGGCCATCAGATGGTTGAGCGGCAGGGAGGGGCAGCATCACAATATTTTCACCATCATGGGGGGAAACGGGTTGATTAAGCAGAAGAATGGTCATGTTAACGGATTAAACGGGAAACTAAATGGGAAACATGCGAAGGTGAGCAAAGTGCATTTGAAGTAGATTGCAGACGATAGATATTCAAGCAAGACTGTCATTGCCTAAGGCTTGCTCAGGTGAATGAATGCATGTGGATATATATTGTATCTGTTGATCTTCTTGTTTTTCGGAAAATAATGATTGAACATTGTCTTTTCATGGCTATTACTAGAAAGTGTTCCGTAGATTCTGTGTAACCCTATTCTCTGCCTCGTTTATTACATATTATAGAACGGCCACAACAGTAAGAACTAGAAATGAATAGCCTATTGTTAAATACTTCAGTAAACAACAGGTAGGCCCTATATTAGATCCGGTTGGTGTCGTGTACCCACGAGATCAGATGAGACTGAGCTTAATTGTTAAAAGTCTGGTGGTAAATTTCCTTTACATATTTTGATCTGTACCAGTAAGTAATAGGACTACGAGATACTGATCATATTTGATACAGATCTATTTGGATGACTCATGACTCTGTGGTGACCTACTGTCCATTAACCAGTTGTCATCATTTGTTTCTTTTCATTTCGAATATGTCCTACAATCTACTTTTTATGTACATGCTAACTTTAATTTTTATGAAATTGTGAGCAAATGTTTTTATTTACTAATTTTGAGTGTTGATGTTTTTCTGGTTCAATTTCTGTTATTCTGTGAAACGTTCTGTTGACTAGGCCTAACCATGCTAACTGTAATTGCCATCACATTAAACAGCATGTGTTCAATTTTCAACATGGGTACAACTAGTGAAACCCATTTCCGGTGCCCCCGCCGTGATATTGATCGAATATTGCTTATACTAAAAGCAGTGTAAAAAGTCAGGCAGTCAGTCTAAAGTTATATTTGGGCATGGTACTTTTCTAGCATGGTATTTTCTAGCAATAGAAACTAACAGTTTTAGTCCACTAGTCCTTATAATGATATATATAGCAAAATCCTTAAAAAGGAAGATTTCAACTACTAGGCCTTATGACATCTTAACTATTGGGCTGTTTGGCTATAAGACTGATGCCAATTTCTGACACAGTACTGTGGCCATAAATGTAAGCCCAAATATAAAACAAAGTTAATTTGTTCATACATAATTCACCCCAAACTACAATGGTTGGTCCTGGCATTGCTTATGCCAAATATATAGGAGCCTATCGATGTGCCAGGGATAACCTGATTGGATGAGATAAGCTGTAATATTACCAGCTCGTGTCGACATGCTGAATGTCTGTGTGACTAATGTTTCAATATATATGTGAAGGGAAAACTAATTCATGTAATTTGCAAAATTTCAACAGCAGACATTATTTTTACGTCCCTTTTGAAGTGCATATATTATTGGTGTCTGTTCTCAATTATTATGTATATAGGAATCAATAGAATGCATTTAGTTAAACCCTGGGTAATTATGATTCATCGGGAGTGTGGAAATGAAAACATTTTCACTTGTCTTCTCGCAAGTAATCTTCTGAAACTAACTTGTCCTTACTTTTGTACTGCGTATCATCTTCCCGAGGCAAGGGAGTTAACTGACTATTAAAGTCCAGTTTCCACCCTTGCCAAACAAGGCTGGAATTTCTGTGCTCAATCGTAGCGTCACCAGTGTCAGTTATGAGTTATGTCCCTGCTATTGATCAATCAGATCCCATCTCTCATATCACTTGCACTTGCTATGTCCCTCCTATTGACCAACCAGATTCCATCTCTCATATCAATGCTTCAAACAAAATGGCGGCGCCCAGTGAAGACAATCTGATCGATAATTGAGATCTATGTCGTAATAAAACGGACATTACTTCGCAAAGTGCATCATATCAATTGAGCACCTTGATTAAAAACATGAAAAAAGATTGGGAATATTATCTGTCGACGCCCAGTTGGCAGTACACATGCTTTGCAAATCCTGCAGTCGACCGAAATCTGCTTGTTGTTTACGAACCAAATGTCTCGTTCATTACGCTATTTTGATTGGACTATGCATAGACTCGTTAGTCCAGCCAAAATGTAACTCCAGAATTCCAGCCTTGTTCAGCAAGGGTGGAAACTGGACTTCTATTGTCATTTGACACCCTTGGCTCGGGAAGATGACTACATCTATGTATATTTCACCTTGTATAATGCACTTTGTCAACATTGAGGTTAAACCTGGATTTGGAATGGAGGCAATAGTTGCTTTTGTAATTATGAAATATTCTATTTGCAATAATATCAATGATAAAGGGTTTAATGTGTTCCACTATCACAAGGAAAGCCAGTTTCTAACAAATCCAGGATAAAGTTGAAATGTAATGAACAGTTAAATTCAGATGCAGTTATTAAAAGTCAAGTGTGTTGATATTCTTTACATTTGCTAGTGATACTAGTTGTTTGTGAATCAACTTAAATATGGGTTTATGTAAATATATACTTGTCCAACAGCTAACCACTCAGGCATGGTATTCCAACACCTCCAGCAGTAAAACTTTGGCTGTGGACAGTATTGAGGTTGTCACATGGCCTTGTTATCATATTGTATATATAGACCATTTTGTCAATGCTCTGATGCACACACGCCTTCAGGTGTAGCTGGCTTCAGCGTTATCCCTGTACATACTAAAGATGACTGGAGCAGTACGTTTGAAATACTTTGAGCCTTCAAACACCAAACAGCTAATGGCTTGAAAGCTCTTGAGTTTGATGGCAACAATATTGCCATGACAGATTAAATATAGTCAGTTGAAAAATTTGAGTGTTCTTGAACTTTTTGTGAAATGTGCAGTTGTCACATTATAGTTGTCATGGATATTGCATCAACAATCATTCAGTGCGATTGAAAATTGCATACATCTTTCAATAGTTTTATCTGCAGTGACACTCGAGAATCTTATTCGGTGATCTACAACACCAAGTCATTAAGCATATTTTTTGTCACTTAAATCCTAGCAGAAATGAAATCTTAGTGCTTTGATTGTCCTAAGCCTGTGTTAAAGTATGGGAGTTACGATCATCTCAGTGCGAAGATTGCTTTGTGGTATGGGGCCCAGGTTGGCTGTACTTGTACACTCAAGACACTGGTTATTACTGTTTACAAACTGAGAAAGTTGGCAGAAGGATTTTGGATGCAGAGTTTTACTCGATGCACAGATGTGCATCCAGTATGTCGTCCAGAGGGATGCACAATAATATTCATTGTACCAAATTCTCAACAAGAAATATATAGATCCTGTAATTAAAGTAAATTTTAAATCTTACAGTACAGTCCACTACACCATTAATCACTTTACATGACCCTCATATTTCATGTAAGGACCCTTAAAATTAGTAATTGGGGGGTCCTCTAGGCTCCTAGTTTTGTAAGGTTAAGCCGAGTGGATGATAAATAGAATCTCACCCTCATGTCTGCTAAGCGGAAATATATCAAGACCCGTTGATATTTTGATAAAATTAATAATATTATCTGCAGTCCTCGGATATTTGTAATTTTTATCAACTCTTCTTGATATATTTAAACTTGCATAACACTTGGCATGATTCTCTATATATTGTTAAAAGTAATGGTCACAAGATATGATGCAGTGGTTAAGATTGCTTCAGTCAAGTCGAGTATATTTATTGAGAGCATGTGATAAAATAAATCTGTGTCTACAGTATATTATCATGGTAACTTGAACACAATGGTAAGTTATAATTTGATGAATATATGGGGCATGTCAGCATGCCCTATTGTTGAAAACGATTCACATGTTAACATGCTTAAAGGCGTTATTGTCCTCAGAATCAAAATAATGACTTGCGTTGAATAATAACTAAACCCACTTCTTGTTTGTAATTCCTATTAACTGAAGCAATAATTAACTTTAATTCCCAGTGTCTTTTGTTTTCTTTTTCAGGAAGGAAGCTGGAAAGATGATTTTTACGAGTCTTTTGAAGAGACGCCACTTTTGGTGGCCATTATCACCTATCTGGCTTATGGCATCCTGGTGGTGATTGGTCACATCAAGGAATATTACCGAGTGTACATAAAATGGGAGAAGAGAGCAGGCAATGAACCTGGACTTGAGGTATGCCACTCTGAACATGTAGAACATCCCCAGTTATTCAGGGCACCATTTGGTCCCTCATAGCTGCAGCATCAGGTAGGGGGGGTGGAGTGGGGGATTGGGATGCCCAGTCCTCTAAATTTCCGCAATTAGATGTGCAGAGTTCCGTCTCTTGGGCACGCCAGAGACCTATGATTATGGATTCGAATCCAGGTTCACTTCCATTATGTTTCTAGGTTTATCAGCACCATACCTGTGCTTGTGGGTTTCACCAAGGTGATAAACGTCTGAGACCTTCATCACTTTAGGATTTCCTTTCACATTCAGCTGACATACCATGATATAACTAGAATACTGTTCAAAGCAGGGTTAAAGCAAACTCAAATCACTCATAAATCAGGGAACAAATTGGTCCTTCATATGCATACACACATATGCCACAGCATACACACAGCATGGCTGCCCCTCTCGTAAATCAGGACGAGTAGGTCCTTCGTATCTGCCTCATTTTGATACCTTGACTGATTGTCATTGAAAATGTCCTAAAGATAATGTTAAGATTTGTTGAGGGTATAGAACAAATGCCTATGAAAATCTTGAAAAGGACCTAATGCGATTTGTCTCTTGCAAACTCAATAGCAGCTCATGAAATAACTTAAAACTTGCCACATGGACCAGTAGTCAGGTAATCTGGTAATGCTTCAATAGTATCAATTAGCAGTCCTGTGAAAGAGGACTGCTTTAATGTTTTGTTTTGAGATTTTTCTAAAGTCTACTACAAAAGCAATAATTGACATTAGAGATCATTCTTCCTCATGACCCTGGGGAATTCTCATGGCACATGTCTCGTCACAAAAAGGTCAAGGTCGGGAGATTGAAAATACTTGCAAAACAAGTTTATGGTAACTTTCTCAAAATGTAATAATACATTTATCATTAAACATAGTATAGGCTAGTACCTTCTCTAGGGTGGCACTTGGCTTTGAAAGTGTTTTGGACACGATAAGTCAAAGGTCAAGGTCAGCGTTAAGGTTTTTGTAAAATATGGTTATTTTCAGTTTCTGAGTCAAGGTCACCTCTGTGCATGAATTTTTATACCTGCATGTATCCCAACAAATCCTACTACATGAACTATTGTTGCCATGTCTATCAAAGGTCAAAGTCATCTTGGAGGTTATTCTGAAACATGGTGTTTCGTTCATAACCATGGTGTTTAGGCTTCCCATAATTATTAGATCCAAGGGAAGTGATATATTGCTGAGTGCGGTGTTTAACAACAAACAAAACAAATGTATAAGGATACAGGGAAATTGCCGATATAAGATATTAGTTTCAGTTATAGTTTCTGGATAAAGACTTGCCTAAGGTAACACGAGCCTAAGGTGACAAGAACCCATCGCCCAGACATACTTTTCAATAAGACAAAAGTTGTGTCTACATAGTTTTATGGATTGTATATTTAAGTAAACCTGTCATCACCTATATTAGAATAACTGTAAGCTTATACTTCACGTTAGGCTCCTTAAGGTTTAGCCCCCATACAGGCTTCTCTATTGTGATATTGTAATCTCTTCCCAAGCATCCAGGATATGTCAACAAGATAGTGACATTCCAATTAACAAGATTACGTATTCCCCTCTGTCTAGCACTTCGTCAATTGTAGGGCACCCACATTATGTATCAATAGCAACTCATATTCTTTGTGTTGTTTAAATTTTAGTTAAATAGATAGAGAACCAAGATGTTTAGCTGTAGGGGTTTGACTTTCCATCCAAGGATTGCCCTCACCCACGGCCCAGAGGGTTTTACCAACTCTCTGCAGCATCCCCACCTATAGTTTAAGATATTGTTATTTTGTTTTGTAAATAAATTGTAATTAGTCTCCTTTGACTCTGGCTATTTGCTGACTAATTCCCCAAGAAAACCAGCACGTCATTTTGAAGGTTTTGAAAATCCATTGCCTATTACCGTTGCACTTTTACTTGTACAATCCTGGGACTTGGTAAATGTTGGACTTTAAAAAAGTTGTCTTGAATAAGGTCAAGGTCTGGAAATAATGTTTTTGAACTCGAAGTAAAGGGGGGTATTTAAGACTTTAGATGCCTTGAGGAAATAGGGGTAACAAGGTAGCTTCTGTTGTTGCAAACACCTCTAATCTGTATCAGAGATCACAAACCAAAATTGATTAATATGGCTGATCAAGAGTGTCCTGTCTTCTCTCTAAAATCTCCGCTTTGACTAACACACATAAAAGGCGACTATGCTTGTCAAAAGAGGCAGGATCGGGTGGTCAGGTCAATTCATGACAGACTTAATTTATTTTTTGGTTGGTTGAAAAATAAATCTTGTTGGAAAATGATGCTTTTAGGTCCTACGACTAATATATAGTATGCTGGATTTAATCAAATATTAACAGACTAAGTCTAATAACCCAACTTAAAAAGCCTTGAAAATGATAGTTGGCAGTATTGAAAAGCCTTGAAAAGGCCATCATTTTAGTGTTCCAGGTCTGTATGAACCTTGTCTAAGCAGGTCCAGAAAAATCCCTGATGTTATTCATATTCATTGTGTTTTACCAACTGTTGCCATATATTACTCACAACACACGATACAAATAAATAATAATGCATTTAAAAAAAATACATTTCTATCCTACATGTCCTACAAGTAAGATTTCAACTTATCAATTATGGTATATTTGATACCTGCAAATTTCAACATTCATTAGCTCTGGCTAACACCATTGGTTTCCAAAGGAAAATTCTAGACATCAAATTATGACTATCCCCTAATTGTAATAGCACAAACTCCAATACAACGTTATTGATTAATGTTTGAGTGGGTTCTACAAGAACAAACATCTACACCATTTTCACAGACAGCTCAATCAGACTTTATGGTTGTATTATCACGGTGTAAAAAAAACTCTCTCAACCCACTTACTCTTATCTAGAAGGAAGCCTGTGCCAAAATTGTGTCAGCATTCCCACCCATAAACAATGATATACCGTATTCCCCCTATTAAGTATCCTATTTCACTAAGGACCCACTGACCCAATTTTAGACTAATTAATATTCAATTTATAAGCACCAAGTACTATATAAGCCTGACCATCTGTATTTTCTGTACAATACACATTTTTATCCATCCGGCATATAATACGGGGGAATACATTATCATCATCTGGTCTCTCTGTCCGTCATACCTTTTTTCACTTGAACCCTGGAAGAACAGGGCTAGAAAAATCCACACGTCCACTCGTATTGATGAGTGCCATCATGTTAAGGGCGAGAAAGAATGGAAGAAACACTCGTCCTACCGGGTGAGTACATATATTTCAATTCATCTCCATTTGTTTTTAATAAAATATGCAAGAAAATTTCGAACCTAAAATATATTTTTATCTCTCGCCCGCTCTAAGTATTAACAACGAAATACATGTCGCTCATATCATAAAAAGGCGACATACTTGGCAACTGACTGTTACAGAAATAAACAGGAAGTGTGTTTATGCGGCAGGTATCGAGACTAGATTTTAAAGAGAGAGAATTATATATATTATTTTTGTTGTAAGCAACTTGATACTGATGCTCAAATTTCAAAGCGATGGTGAACAGCTGATGATTGATTTTGTGAGGCAAATGGTTGACATATGGACGTTTTTGATCATGGATGTGGGTTATTGACAAAAAATATGATTTAATTAACCATGTTAACAATCAGGCAAAAAAAGGGAATTTCTACAAAACAGTATGACTGTAAAAAAAAGAAAAAGAACTGTGCAAGACACATCGTTCAGCAAGTTTCAATAGTCAGGGAGGTATTTTGTACTGTCTGCCATATGTTATAACTGAAAACATAAAGCTTGATGACATTTACCAGGGCAAGTGAAAATATTGCAAGACAAGTACCAAATATAATTTACTTTAAGAAACTTTTCCAGCCCCGCAGAAATCCAAAATGTAAATGTATGTGCAGAGCTACAGATAAGCAGCATATTTGCGTAAAATACTCCCCAAAAATATTCAAAACCCAATTACTTTCGATTAACTCGTGTACAGAAACGCATGCATTAAATGAAAAACTCAAATGTATAAAAACAGCACGCGTAAATACCTAATGAAGCTTTTTCAGCATACGTACAACGGAGCTAATTTCCGAAACACAATTATGAGCTAATTTACTTTCTGAGTCAAGCCTATATATTTAGAACCATTATATACATCTAAAATATTATTTATTTATTTTAAATCTTAAAATGTTCATTTATTTTGGGAAAAAGCAAATAGAGAGATGAATGGATGAGTGAAAAAATATTGGCTACCCAGTGAAAAATGTGATAACCCAATTAAAATAGAAAGCCAAGAGTAAAAACTCAATTGCTCAAAAAGTTATCTGGAGCTCTGTATGTATACGTCCGTGCCAAAAACAAGAGTAGAAAAAGACAATCACGGGTAAAGTTTCTAAACACAAACAAATTTCTATTTTGGAATGACAACAAAACAAAAACTAAATGGATATACCTTAAATTCTTTCTCTATGAAAAATAATCACATTTCACAGACGATTGTATTTTAGATTAAATTCCCCTAGCCTTAAGATGAGACAACAATGGTGGAAGAGTTTTCACAAACGTAATCTCGTACAAGAATGGCCGCCTGCATGAATTACAAATTTTGAACTATTTCTTGGCCCAAACAGCAAGTTGGATTCAGTGATTTTAGAAAAAGCTTTGATCGATGATACATTTGCATCCAGATGTCTCCATAAATATTTAAAAGTGTGACTCAATCATTCAAATGTAACTGAATGTCAACTGTCTTTTCAACTTCCAGTTACTCATAAACATTTTCTGGCTGCTGCACATTTCAAGAATGCCGTCCTCTGAATGGCTGAAATATTGCGAATGAAACAAAAGAGTGAACCTGGAGCAGCATTCATTGTTTAATGAACATATGATGAACAAAACAAAAGATCAACAAAACTTTCTTTGACACGGTATACACATGACAGATGGAAATAGACTGCGAAATTGACAACACCGTATTTTATCTCATTCCGGAATGTAAATACATCTGTAATATATTTGTCATGTCTCATCACTTTGTATATATTCAATTACAATGTAAACACACATTGTCGAAGGCCTAGAAATTTGATAACTGCAGATCGTTGTCTCCCACATGCAAATGAAATTAACAGTTGATCGTGGTAAACATCCCTTGTAAATGATCTATAATTGTACTCGTGAATAATTCTCCCTAAAGTTGACAATGAACAGAAATATAAATACCTGGTGCACGGGTATGGTGCTGACAAACCTAGAAACATAATCGGGGCGAACCAGGATTCGAACCCACAATCATAGGTTTCTGGCGTGCCCAAGGGACGCAACTCTGCACAGCGAATCGCGACGACTGGGCCACCCGTGCCCCCAGGTAGCGCACAGGAGAAAGGGGATAACATGTCAAGGAGATTCCTATTTGAACATTGACATTTGCCCTCTCTAACTCAACTTTGATATCATCATTTATGGTTTTAAAATGTTCTCCTATTTGTCCATTTTCTAGTTAACCTGTGCATATATTATGGCAAAATATAAGATAGCTACGCGATAAATCGCAAGAACAATGAAGAACGAAGCGTGGTTCATTTCACGTTAAAATATTGTTCTATCATAACGTCATTTCTGGAGATTTCGAACATACGCTTGCAACGTGATGACGTAGTATATTGAGCAACATTATTTTTTAGAGAGAAGTGTCTCATGAATTGTTCCCCATAGTTGTAGCTGGACATCGTAGATAAACGCAATGGCTGAACGATCGCTTCCAAAATGGGAGAGATATGACAATCGGTATTGGGAGAAAAGAACAGATAATTGATGTGAAAATTGTGAGAATATGCGGGAAAGACCAAATTTATCCCCCTGTTCATAAGATGGACATGTTCAACATTGCTGTGGTCAGATTCTATTCAGGGAGTTATCATTATTTAAATACAGGTAAATATTTTTAAAGCATGTACTCATGGTCGTTGTTTATAGTACTCCAAAACACTGCAGGGAAATACACCACTCAGGGCTCGTTTATTTCTTTAATACGGTAAATGTAACAACTGTGGGGTTGGGTGGGCAAGTGCTGTATGACTCTTACAGTGATAGATAAGTCTATAGAGTGTTAAACCAGGTTTTATATAGCAGTCTTCAGTATCATGGCATTTTTCTTTGTAATTTGGGGTCAGCAATCACTGGTATTATCACCTGTATAGGTAACCAAGTGCTGACAGACATTGGTTCAAAGGTTATGTCAAGCGTAGAAACAAACTTTTTTAAGTTGGCCCGATAGCTCAGTGGTAGACTGTTGAAAGCTATATCATATTAGGGTATTTCTTTGCTTGGGTGCCACATAGCCTAATAATCTCATTTACAAAGAGAATTTTAAGAAATTGTTTCTCTGCCAGTTGCATGACATCAAGCTTATTCATACATAGTGAAATTATGATATGAGAATACAGTACTCCCCACTCTAGCAGTCTCATTATCTACACTAATGTTTATTCGTTTGAATTTTTTGAATTTTTTTTATAAATGTCAGAAATGTGAAATATAAAAATGCAATTACCTCACTTTCTCATTTATTTGAATTACTGCAAAAAAAGGTTTTCAGTTTCTCATGCAGAAATAGATATGAATTTGGGCAGGTCAACCATATTAAATTGGTATGTAAGGATGTGTGGCCTCATTGACTTAATCAGCCAGTAAACGTGCCTCATTGACTTAATCAGCCAGTAAACGTGACAGACATTCACCATCCAACTGTGTCATCAAAACTAGGTAGTAATTATTGTCACCATGGTTACCGAAAAATCAGGGAATGACAGGAACCAGCTGCACCTTGTGAAAGCAGTTTGTGATAAATTCATTATCACATTCTGTTGTCCTGTTAATGGTGTTGTTCTCTGCCATCTGGTCCTCTCTAAAAATGTTTTCAGAGCTTGTACAGCATGTACAGTAGTAGATTTATGGCAACTATGAATTAATTTTTTGATGAATTGCCTCAAGTTCAGTTCACAGTTCAGTATCAAGTGTAATTGTCATGAGCTGCGAGGATTCTTAGTGCTTAGAAAGGAAAGAGAAGAGCAAACGTTATTTGCAAACAATGAAAAATTTCAAATATAGGAAATATCTGATTGTCTGAGAATATGGTAGTTATCCCTCTGCCACGAACTGGGGCGGGGGATATGGGAACAGAGTTCGTCTGTCCGTCCGCCCATCCTTCTGTCTGTCAGCTTCTCAAAGGGGAGAAATTTCTCAAAAACTATTTAAGTCAGAATAAAAGTTTGCATGCTTATCTAAGAGATACTTGTTAAGACCAAGTTTGAAAATTGGTCCCATAAATTATTTATTTACAGAGTTTTGGCCCTTGATACATGTTATTTTACTTGGTGCATAGCGTGTGCAATAGGGACAAGTTTTCTCAGAAACTGGTGAAGTTTGCTTATCTAAGAGTAAGAGATACTCATCAAGACCGTGTTATTTTTTCTAGAGAACGGGCCCTTTGTGTGTATTAATTTTTACATCAGTAAATTTTTCTGATGACATTAAAGCGCCCTATTTAGCTATATTTTTAAGGCTTTATATGACTATTGTTTTTAGTTTATATTCTCTACTGTATGAACAAACAACATTCTTATGTGCCCCATGGCGGGGGATAGTGATAACGCAGTTTTATTCTTAATATTACATCCGCTGTCTGTGTCTCCTTGCCCCAACTTGGCTTTCAGCTTCAGAAGTGTTATGATATGGACCATTATTAGCTGAGGTTGCAAGAATGAACAGAAGTATACTAGACTTCGGACAAGTGGCTTAATTTGCCGACTGCATTCTGTTCTCTGGTGAAACTGTGGTTCCAAACAGATGTCAAAACTAATGGTTTTAAGACATAAATAGCATGATCCAAAGAGATATGATGTCCATAAAGAATATATCTACAAGACCAGGGGTGACTACGCTTCGGCCATTAGCAGTCCGAGCAAGTTTGGATCAAGTTTTCAAGAACACTTAGTTGTCAACTGCAGGTATTAACCTTGGCCTGTATATTTGCGTGTCCTGGGTACTCATGGTTACGATTGTGGTATTCCTGGTAGTTAAAATGGGAATCCCAGGGTGTCCACTGTGCCAACAGCATGTAAAATACAAAGTGTGTGATTATTAGTGCTGCAATGAATACACTATGAGGCTAATACAATTTGTATCGTATTCGTAAATGAGTGAAAAAAAGTCGGACATTGAAAGTCTTGAATGATTGTATTACCTATCAGAGAAGATACATTATTATGTTTCTCTCCACAGGACTTTGTTCCGCTGTATGCTAGTTGGGAGAGTTTTTATACAAAGAATGTATTCCGCCGTATCAAGGATTGCTGGACGCGACCAATATCCAGCTGTGCAGGGGCCAACTTCGAAGTATTGGAATTGGTCACACATGACTATGGCTGGAATTTTAAGTAAGTTCATTGTACCTTCATGAGAGATTTTTTAATCATTAATACACATATATCTTGTTAATAGCTTATAATGTTCAGGCATGTGGTATCTTTTGGCACTCTACAGTGGAACCCTGCTTATCCCGTACCCAGATATCCAGAAACATGATATACACTTTATTCCAGCTTTATGATGGTAGCCCACAAATATTTGAGTCTGGGCCAGACAAACCAGTGATTGAGGCCCAGTTTCGATTCCCCACATGGGTACAATGTGTAATGTCCATTTCTGGTGTCCCTGCCATGATATTGCTGGAATAATGCTAAAAACAGCGCAAAACCAAACTCGCTCACTCACCCACCCATGCCATCAGTGTACGATAATTCGCAATTGGCCACATCACTGATCCTGACCACCAAACTAGTTCATGTTCGTACTGCAAGCATTGGTTGCTGGCGATGGCTGACATTTGAGGGTCACTGATAATGAACAAGGCATCTGAAAGGCTTTTCACCACATAACTTGAGAATGTTTGTGCATTAACTTAAGATTAAGAAGTTGATCTAGATTAATATGATACATAACTTAAACACGCTAGTCTTGATACATATCAATGTTGAAAGTCATTGATATTTGTTAGGTGTGTTTTTCGACTATTTTTCATTATGAAAAATGATATGCCTATTTCAGACTTACTGGCAGGAAATTCCATGCAATGAACTTTGGGTCATACAATTACCTGGGTTTTGCGGAGAACAAGGGGCCCTGCGCTGATGCCTGTGAAGTCACAACCTTGGAAGAAGGGGTGGGCGTGTGTGCCAGTAGACAGGAACTGGGTGAGTTGTTGTATGGAGGAGGGGGTGGGCGTGTGTGCCAGTAGACAGGAACTGAGTGAGTGTGTGTGCCAGTAGACAGGAACTTGGTGAGTTGTATGTAGGAGGGGGTGGGCGTGTGTGCCAGTAGACAGGAACTGGGTGAGTGTGTGTGTCAGTAGACAGGAAATTGGTGAGTTGTATGGAGGAGGGGGGTGGGTGTGTGTGCCAGTAGACAGGAACTGGGTGAGTTGTATGGAGGAGGGGGTGGGTGAGTTCTATAGAGGAGGGGGTTGGTGTGTGTGCCAGTAGACAGGAACTGGGTGAGTTGTATGGAGGAGGGGGTGGGTGTGTGTGCCAGTAGACAGGAACTGGGTGAGTTGTATGGAAGAAGGGGTGGGCGTGTGTGCCAGTAGACAGGAACTGGGTGAGTTGTTGTATGGAGGAGGGGGTGGGTGTGTGTGCCAGTAGACAGGAACTGGGTGAGTGTGTGTGCCAGTAGACAGGAACTTGGTGAGTTGTATGTAGGAGGGGTTGGGCGTGTGTGCCAGTAGACAGGAACTGGGTGAGTGTGTGTGTCAGTAGACAGGAAATTGGTGAGTTGTATGGAGGAGGGGGGTGGGTGTGTGTGCCAGTAGACAGGAACTGGGTGAGTTGTATGGAGGAGGGGGTGGGTGAGTTCTATAGAGGAGGGGGTTGGTGTGTGTGCCAGTAGACAGGAACTGGGTGAGTTGTATGGAGGAGGGGGTGGGTGTGTGTGCCAGTAGACAGGAACTGGGTGAGTTGTATGGAGGAGGGGGTGGGTGTGTGGGCCAGTAGACAGGAACTGGGTGAGTTGTATGTAGGAGGGGGTGGGTGTGTGTGCCAGTAGACAGGAACTGGGTGAGTTGTATGGAAGAGGGGGTGGGTGTGTGTGCCAGTAGACAGGAACTGGGTGAGTTGTATGGAGGAGGGGGTGGGTGTGTGTGCCAGTAGACAGGAACTGGGTGAGTTGTATGGAGGAGGGGGTGGGTGTGTGTGCCAGTAGACATGAACTGGGTGAGTTGTATGGAGGAAGGGGTGGGTGATTGTGCCAGGAGACAGGAATTGGGTGAGTTGTATGGAGGAAGGGTTTGGTGGGTGTGCCAGGAGACGAACTGGGTGAGTTGTATGGAGGATGGGGTGGGTGGGTGTGCCAGTAGACAGAAACTGGGTGAGTTGTATGGAAGATGGGGTGGGTGGGTGTGCCAGTAGACAGGAACTGGGTGAGTTGTATGGAGGAAGGGGTGGGTGATTGTGCCAGGAGACAGGAATTGGGTGAGTTGTATGGAGGAAGGGTTTGGTGGGTGTGCCAGGAGACGAACTGGGTGAGTTGTATGGAGGATGGGGTGGGTGGGTGTGCCAGTAGACAGAAACTGGGTGAGTTGTATGGAAGATGGGGTGGGTGGGTGTGCCAGTAGACAGGAACTGGGTGAGTTGTTTGGAGGAGGGGGTGGGTGTGTGTGCCAGTAGACAGGATCTGGGTGAGTTGTATGGAGGAGGGGGTGGGTGAGTTGTATGTAGGAGGGGATGGGTGAGTTGTATGAAGGAGGGGATGGGCGTGTGTGCCAGTAGACAAGGACTGGGTGAGTTGTATCATGTGTATGGAGGCAGAGGTGGGTGTGTGCTGGTTGATAGTGTTCATCTGTGAACTTACAAGCATGGTATGATCAACCATTGTCTGTTTTTCAGGTTATTTGGAAATTCACAAGGAACTGGATGAGTTGATGGCTGAATTCCTGGGAGTCGAGGCGTCTGTCACCTTCCCAATGGGCTTCGCCACCAACTCCATGAATATGCCCTGTCTAGTGAAAAAGGTTAGTGGGCAGTAGACAGGTCTGCAGCCAACATCATTTTTGATTCTGTGTGACAATCTTTTTTAACTTGCAGAAAATGGCAGCCAATCTTGAAAATTCTACTGACTGCAGACAAACCCTTCAGTTTTATCACAAATGCCAAACTTCATACCTTGAAAATAAGTAGTTTCAGCTTACAAATGTTGGTGTTGCATGCACATACAGAGGTCTTCAGAACAGTTGTGTGTGGTTGTTGCAGGGGTGCCTCATCCTGAGTGATGAGCTGAACCACGCCTCCCTGGTGCTGGGCTCGCGCCTCAGTGGTGCCACAATCCGGGTGTACAAGCACAACAGTAAGTAATGATTGGGGATCATCAGTGAATATTATCGGTCCTTGGTGCTTGGTCATTCATCTGTAGTGTCTGTAATCAATTGTAAGATTCCATGATCGGTTGTCGCAAATCATGCAATTGATATCAATTTGATTTTTTTTTTTTTCGTTCTTGATTTGAAAATGATTACGCATGAGCACATTCAACATCAATATGCAGCCATTCATGTATTTCATTGATCATGTTCATGGAATACCATTCTTAAGATATCTGATCATAGTAAGATAAGATTGTAGCTAATTCTTAACCCTAGTACTTATACTTGTCCATATTCACCAGCAATAAGCCTGGGCCCCTGGCTTAGTCAGTAAACTGTGTCTGTCCATGATATCCCATGTTAAAATGTGACAGTACTTCATATGCAGCTCACGCTATTAGTACCATGATCTTGAACACAAAGTTTTAACTCACCTCACTCATAGATGGGGAACAGAAGATGAGTTTTGTGATGTTGCAGCATGCAATGATCTTGTTGCTTTATTTTGTATTGATGCAGTACACAAATGTTGGGTGTTGCAGACATGAAAGATTTGGAAAAGAAATTGTGTGAAGCTGTGGTCCATGGGCAGCCTCGTACTCACCGACCCTGGAAGAAAATACTCATTGTTGTAGAGGGGGTGTACAGGTAACTACTGTGTATCTTAATGGAAAACTTTGTGCACCAATATCTGTGCAAACCTTTATGAACTATTGGCATGATACAGTATATCGGGTAGTGTCATACCTTTAGCGTTGGTCAGGTCATCACACCTCAGGGTTGATCGTGTTGTCATACCTCAGGGTTGATCATGTCATCCTACCTCGGTGTTGATCATGTCGTCGTACCTCAGGGTTGATCATGTTGTCATACCTCAGGGTTGATCATGTCATCCTACCTCAGGGTTGATCATGTCATCCTACCTCAGGGTTGATCATGTCATCCTACCTCAGGGTTGATCATTTCATCATACCTCAGGGTTGATCATTTCATCACACCTCAGGGTTGATCATTTCATCATACCTCAGGGTTGATCATGTCGTCGTACCTCAGGGTTGATCATTTCATCATACCTCAGGGTTGATCATGTCGTCATACCTTTAGTGTTGATCATGTCGTCATACCTCAAGCGTTGATCATGTCGTCATTCCTGTAGCATAAATCAATGTCATCAACCGCCAGGTTGCCTGGCTCAGCTTCTGCTGATTCAGTTATTTACCGGTAAGCTGGAATATTGCTGACTGATGTGAAACAACAACTATGTCCAATGAAGGAACCTTGGGTTCTCAGCTCTCATATGACCCTCTGCCTGCAGTCCAGTTTTCTCTATTATCAGCATGGAAGGATCCGTGGTTCGTCTTCCTGAAATTATCGCCCTAAAGAAGAAGTACAAGGCATACATATACCTGGATGAGGCCCACAGTATCGGAGCCATGGGGCCCCACGGCCGCGGTGTCGTGGACTACTTCAATGTTGACCCACGAGACGTGGATGTGTTGATGGGTACATTCACCAAGAGCTTTGGTTCAGCTGGAGGATACATTGGAGGAACGAAGGTTGGTTTCAAATATTAACATCAAAATGTTTTGTAAAATGATCGTGAGAGATGAGACCAGTGATCAAGGTCAAATGACATAGCTTTTTCTATGGGAAGGATATATATTTATATATGCGTCATTGTCAGTAACTGAAATAGGCTCTTTCTTTGATATACCAATTAGCAGTACAAAGTCATTCTTTCCAAATCATTCTGTTTAAATTGCCATATGAATATGTGTTTACTTGTAAACACACTACTAAACACGCCTACTCAAGGACTATAGGACTAATGCCAATTTCTACCGCTGCTGATGTAGAGAAACAACCCCAACATCTTATTTATTGTTGATTCCAGCGCCTCATCAAACACTTGAAAGTGAACTCCCATAGCGCAGTCTATGCTTGTGCCATCTCCCCTCCCGTAGCCAGGCAGATCATCCACTCCATGAAGATCATCATGGGCAAAGATGGAACTAACCTTGGTAGGTCAACTTCTGCATTTGTTGTTTTCGCCTGTTCCTAATTTTGTCATAGGGCCCTGTTGTCTAAGACATGACAGTTAGCTGTAAGGATTTGTATACCTTAGCTGTGTGAGGATCTGCTGGTGAAGGGTTCATATAGATTTGTTGTGATCTATGGTATGTCAGCACTACACCTGTCCTTGTTGGTTTCTTCTGAATTTTTTTCTCCTCTGGTGTAAGCTTCTCCAACATGGAGGCGATAAATGTCCCAGTCGTCTTAAGGCACTACAATTAATGATGCAGAATTGCATCTCTTAAGGGTGCAAGAAACCTATGATCGTGGGTTCAAATCCAAGATTCACCCAGATTATGTTTCTAGGTTTGTCAGTCCAGTACCTGTTCTTGTGTGTTTCATCAAAGTGGTAAATGTCTGACACCTGCACCACTTAAGGTTTATCTCTCACATTAAGTGTACATGCTGTCATAGGACTGGAATACTGTTCAAAGCAGTAACTCCCTCACCCTTAAGTTTACTTTACACATTTTGCATGTTTAATGCACTGATTGATGCTAGTTTGTTTCCCCTGGGAGCTTGATACTTCTGGACAGTCTCAATAGTGTATCTTGTTTGTCCTTAGGTGAGAAACGTGTCCGACAGCTAGCTTGGAACGTCCGCTACTTCCGTCGCAGACTCCAAGACATGGGCTTCATTGTCTATGGCAATAAGGATTCTCCAGTTGTGCCTATGCTTGTGTTCTTACCATCCAAAATAGCGTAAGTAATGTAGTGCCACAACCTCATCGAAAGAAATTACTTCCTCGTAAAACACGATATTACATGCATAAGTGTAACTCTCTGTCAAGTAGATTTCTATGTTTATGTTTTGAAAAATAATTTAACTTTTTGTCAGTAATGATCTTTAGCCACAGGAACAGTTTCAGAAAGTATTCCTTTGTTGCAGTGCCTTCAATAGAATGGCCTTAGAGCGTGGTCTGGGGACTGTGGTGGTTGGATTCCCAGCTACTCCTATCATTGAATCTCGAGCCAGGTTCTGTCTGTCTGCCGCTCACACCAAAGAGATGCTGGACAAAGTAAGTTGTGGGGAATGTAGCGCTTTGTTACTCATGCTGTATGCTCTTGACACTTCGGTTTTATTGTGTATGTATCATGTCAGTTGTTAAGATGACTTGGGTTACAAGGTAGTTTGTATGTATACATGAATGTCTGGAAATGTTTGCTACATTGCATCCTTGTTTCCTTCTCTTTGTTCCATTCTTGGGCAGAGTAGGTTCTCAATGCCATCATTCTTGTCTCCCTGTATGGTGCTCAGGGAGAATAGGTGTCCCATACCACCAGTGTTTGTCTCCCTTAGGTATGTAGTTAAACAGCTGTCCAGTTCCTGTGGTTATTCCAGGGTAGAAAGCTCCACCACCACCACGTCTCAGGAGAGAGACCCATGCTTGTCTTCCTGTGGTGGTGCTTGGGTAAGAAGGTCCCTTTGCTTCCATGTGTTTGTCTCCCAGTGGAGATTCCACAACAGAATAGGTCCTCAGCTCCCCATGCTTATCACATAGGCTTACTAAAGGAAGGATCAGATGGTTACAATGTGATACTTCGCTGACATACAATTGCCATAATATTACAGTACCATTCGTGTAGTATGATTTCACTCCTTCACTGACTGTTTGGTTATTGTGTGATCTGCAGGCTTTGGACATCATCGACCAGCTGGGTGATGAGCTGTGTCTGAAGTACTCCCGGCGCCCTCCTCGTCGTCAGTATTCTGAGGACTCAATCAAGCTCATTGAGGTAGGTTCACTCACTAAATGATTTCTAAGCTTAGGCAGAATTTGTGTAAAGAACTGAAAGGTTAATGGTGTGGATATATTTGTGAAATGAGAGGTGCTATGTATGGTTGCCTCCGTAGTCAAGTGGATAGAGCATCTGTCCATATCACCTCCCCTACAGTTGCCACATGTAATATGAAATGTGCTGTCAAAACACTGTGATAAAACTGTTCAAAGCACTAAACCTTAATCACTTGCCTGAAGAGACGATTAAATTGGATTGGGTGATCACATGGGAGGCTGAGTAAGACGTGTGTTTCAAGGAGGTCCCCCAGGGAGGTTCAACTCTCAACTGTGACGATAGTTTGTCATTATACTCTCACAATATTAGAGGTTGCTCACACCGTCCTCCTCTGGTTTTTGTGTGATAGTGTGCAAATATACTCTGACAATATTATTGGCTGCTCATGAAAGGTTTGACACATCTCATACAACATGACTTGTTTATTTAAGATCCAGACTCAAAACTGCAATCCCCACAACCTCTGTTACATCCCCACAGCCTAACCAGAAATTCTAGCTACATGTAACAAACATTTGATCACTAACCATTACTTACAGTTACATAGCAACATTAGAATGTCCTCAACTGACAGGGAGTTATCACTTCTGGTATCTAGAGTTATCTCCCTTTGACCATAAGCTGTTGTTGCCAACACTCACACAGTCTGTCACTGGTTTGTATGGTCCATGCTGCAATGATAATTTTGTAATATTCCTGAAGAATCATTTGCCCACTCCTTCTCAAAGACTCTTTTCTTTTTAAAGACTTTTTATGAATGTGTTCAACTTTGTTCATTTCTGCAGTAACTGCCTCTGCCACCCACCTTGCACTTCCAAGACTTCAACAATGGCACCTCTGGACTGGCATCTTGCCCAAGATGCTGCATGAAGAAGGACCAAGTCAACAGCTCAACATCTACACATCACTTCTCCAGGAGCTGGATGGGGATTTGTTTCAATTACTTCATACCAAATGCCAAAAGCGTATTTTTCTGTTCTCCACAGATCATGTCTTCACTGCAGAATCAAAGTTTATTTTCTATATTACCCTATCCCTATGATGAACATATCTGTACAAGCAGTGGAGTGGGCCGTATCATCTCAACAGCTCACCTGCTTTTGTAGTTTCACTGAAGACTGTATAGTATACATAGTATACAATAAAGGTAATTCAAGTCTCATAACTCATGAGTACTGTGAAGTGATGATCTTTAACACCACAAAAGGTTCCCAAATATAACAACATTGGCCGATTTGTATCCCAGATTGCCTGATTAGGATTCTTGAGATAATGTGTTTGTGTTTCTGGGTATATTAGGCTGAAAAAAATTAAAAGAATTGGTTCTCAGGGCAATGGCTTATGAAAATATTGTGCGGGGGGTGGCTTTTACTTCTTCTTTTTTTGGTTGTGTACAAACTAGTAAGAATCCAAATCTGTATATGGGTATATGGCTGTGTTTCAGGCGAGTTTTTCATAACTAGAAGTAGGGGGCTTTCAAGTGGTTTGGGGGGTCATCTTAACATAGGGTTGAAGAGTGTTTTATGGTTTTTTCCCCCATCAGTAAGACATTACCGCGAGCACGTAACACCGGAAATTCCATGTCAACAAATCTGTGCTGAAGTACGCAAATTAATCATGTAATTACACTGTATTGGTTGTAAAAAGAGTTAATTATATATCTGGACTTAAGTTTTTATTCTATTTTATTAATTCTATCCAAATTTCATTCAATATTGTTTCAATTCATTTTGGTAAAATAGTATGTGAAGTGATCGGAAGATCGCACAACTCACCACGATCATATTACCGCTATGGATGCCTTGAAACAAACTTCAGTGGAAAGATAATGGATATATTAATACCATACATTGACTCTGCTGAAAGTCATATTTGTTGTAGTTTGACTATTATATGTCAACAAAAGGTTTTCGCAATCGTGGGCGCGGGAGCATCAACTGTGATTGCTCAAAGTGTTCCGTACAAAAAAATATCCAGAATAGCGATCAGCTGTACCAAAGTGCTACCCTTATGGTTATTAATTTATTTCACACATGTAAAGTAAAGCTGCAACTAAAATAACATGATATTGGAATAAATTATTCCTGATAAAATGATAGTTTCAGTTACAATTTTTCCGCTCATGTATCAAAATTCTTTAAAGTTACATTATTTGGTATTTTTTTAACGAATCACCATTAGATTTCGAGAAACGTGTGTGCAGCTGATTGCTACTTCCTTCTTAGTTTTCGAGAAAATACACACGGTAATCTTAATCTATGCATATAAAACCATGCCAATCAGAACAGGATACACAATTTAATCGCTAAATTATCATGTCTGGTGATACTTTATCTCAAATTTCGTATTTGTATTGACCAAGTTTATTATAATCTGTTCGTTTCCCTGAATTTGCTGAAGGGATGCGATGTCATTTTTTTCTGCGAAAGACAAACACATGGTTTTTTTTGCAAATGTAGGGATTTTGTATGTGCTGATGACGTGCTTCATTCCGGTTTGCTTTATAGACTGGGTATATAAATTAGCATCAATTTCCTGCTTATTTTACGGGACAAATACACATGTAAATCTTATCCTCTGCGCATGAAACATTGTCCCGCATACAATACACAAATACCATTGAATTTGTAAATCATCATGTCTAGTGATGTTTTATCGCAAATTTCATGTTTTCATTGACCAAATTTGAAAACAGATAAACAAGCACACAAACTCCTATTGTCGCCATGACCATAACACAGGAGATGTGCAATAAAGCAGTGCGCATGAAAAGGGAAGTAACTGCACACATTGTTTTTAAGTATTGTAGCATTTTGCAGTTGGGGTCACAGAATATTTAAGGATTTTATAAATAATTTTTTTTTTAAATAAAAACAATACGTCTGGCAGACTTTATGATGATGCGGCAGTGCCTGAGAACCAAGAATTTTAATTTTTTAGCCTTGGTAAATGTTTATGACTTTTAACTTTGGGATAACCATAAAAAAATGGTAAATCTAAACTGAAAATACTATTCAAAGTGGTGTTAAAACTCAACTGACTCACTCAAACTTCAGATATGTTATCATCAGACAATTATTGAAGCCTGTCATTTTTGTATATCAAGATCATCATTTGATATTTTTCTATGACCATGAAAGTTAGTCAAATCCAAAGTCAAAAGTTAGTCAAATGCTTTCTGTCCCCCAGTGTTCTTTGTTACCAAGGTGATACTGTTTGTGATCGGAAACCACAGTGCAGAGCAGCTACTGTTGCTGATCTGCTGTTGTTGCTGTTCTGCTGCTGTTGCTAGTCGTTGCTGTGGTAGGAGAAACTGTTGATGAAAATGTTAATGTCTTGACTAGTGCAAGGTGATCTGTTTGTTCTGATTCTGTTACTGATAAACTGATTCTATTAAGAGTGGTGGCATGGGGATTATTTTTGATGCAGTGGCTATTCAAGATTACATTATTTTTCCCCAATATATTACCGATTCCCTCCACTGTTGCCATGGTTACTGTATATTGTAGTCAGGGTACTCAACGTGTGTTATTGTGTATCACACATGACTTTGCTAACTGCCAATTGAAATAAAAATTAGACATTAATTAAGTTGGTTTACTTTTGTGTATTAACGGGCACAGATATCTGTATGTCAATTTGTAATGTAAAATGTTTTGTATTTACAATATTAATCTTGTATATGTTTGTTGTTCCTACAGATTGCAAGTTGTAACTATAGTTTTGTAAAAAGTCAATCCACAGCTTCCTGTTATACTGTAGGTCAGGTGTATGGTGCTTCCAGCTGGTTTTTCTTGTACAGCTTGCGCTGACTCCACATCTCGTACTGCAAAGCCTTTAAACTGTAAGCCTTGTTACAGTAACAGACACATTTCTTATTTCTATTAGGGGTCAACCATTTCATTTCATTTCATTTGGGTGTGGGGGGTGGCAGGAAGTTTTTGTTAAACTCATCTGTTCCTGAAAATGCTGGAAAAATAATATTTTGCCCTCATAATTTACACACACAAAATCAGTTGTGGATCTCCCAAAATTGTTTGGGGCATGTTTTAGGCATCATGGGATGTTTTAAACATTGACTGAAAACATTGTCTGAAACAACAATCCCAGGCCCCTTAGAATATTAACAGGTTGGTCCCCAAAATTGCTGTATTTTTAGGGATTAAAAGAACATAATAGAAACATCAGTAACAGTTAAAAATCTCCAATACTGACTTCCTGTCTTGCTGTTTATGTTTATGATGTTAATAGGGATTTTTCTGACGGCATATGTTGCCTATTTCATTTCTATGATGTATATATGGCACACCATTTCAAACAGCATAACAGTTTTTTCTTTGACATAAAAGACATATACTACATAAAATGGTTTGCATTTGACTGAGTGGATATTTTATTTTCAGTGGTGGTAACCTGCAACACTGCAAAATGTTATCCATTGTCCATGTAGAATACAAATTGAGCTGGCAAGGAACTCTTTCACTATGCTATCAGTTAGCAGGGATTACATTTACAACCCTCTGTCTGATTTTGTTAGCAGACCTGGCATGGACTCAATGTAAACTTGCCTCACTTACAGTTGATGTTGTTTATTTCAGCTGCCTTACAACAGTGATTGCTTATTAATTCCATGGTCTCTAGATTGTGCTTATTTTGCCTGGCCTTCAAGCCATGGTCAGTGTAGGGTGCCTGGGCTGAAAGGGTCTTGGTGACTACTATCACAGCATGTCTGTTGTGAAACCAACTTGTTATATGGCTTATCGGAAATTGTGACACGGTCGCCGTCTTTGAAATTATGACACTAATGCTATCTTTGAAATTGTGAAATCAGTGAAGCAAAATTTGAAAATGGTAACACTAACAGGTGTTTTTGTGTGTGTTTCTCAGCCTGAGAGAATTATGCTTTGATATTAACAGCTGACTGTCTCCATGGGTTACACCCATCCATCTCATTTTTTATGAAATCTAGATTTTCAACTAATTGATAGACCAAACTTACAAGAAAGTTGTGTTTGGACCAAACACAATCAAAACAAGTTCATTGTACATTCTAATCCAGCGTCGGACAGTGTCCCTTATGTTTTTTAGCTTGAAGTTTTAAGCGGATGAGATGCAGATCCTGACCCCTGTCTTTAATCAGTATTTGTTATTTGGTTGTGACTATGTGCTTACACTTTCTTAATTTTTAAGCACCTTTTCTTATTCCTTTGATTTTTATTGATTGTTTTACAGTACTGTGCAATGTAACTGATTTCTGAAGGGTTATTCCTGTGGTGATTGTAAACCTATTTGGTTGTTGTGATACAAGAAACTTCCGTACCACCATACAAGCCTCGAGATTATGTTTTGAGCCATTGCAGTAGGTGCCAAAAACTTTTCAGTCTACTAGACCGAACTTGGCACTTATAGCACATTTTAGTGTTATCATATGGACCAATTGTAACTGAGCGTGAAGAACGAACAGAATTGAGTATTTACTCACATGTTACCACTTGCTTTGGGTATTGATAGCTCTCTTTTGGTATTCAGTACATTTTTACAAACTTGGGTCCAGTCTATTGCAACTTGAAAGGCTACACTGGGTAATTATGCATTTTGTTTTTGAAACTTTTCATAAGAATTTGTAATCAAGCAACTCAAAAGTAATTGGTAATGTTTATTTTGCATATTTTATGCAAACAAATAGGAGCTCCCGTAAAACTTAGCCCCAGGCTTAGTCAACTGCAGTCAGATGTACAATTTTAGCTTTCATTTTTATCCTGTTTCTATTTTAGATGTAGGGAGAACATTTCCCAAAATATACATTTATGGCTCTGGTTTGAATGTAAATATTGAGTGTTACACTAGAGGAAATAAAAAAGGGGACATCAAGTAAAACAAGAATAATCAAATTACATGTCTAGGACACATATTGGTGATGCAGTGCAGAGACTGCTGCATACCTGTCTGAAAGAGGACACAAGAAGTAATGAGAACTATTAATGCATTATGGCCTTATGGAGAATCTTTCGAATATTCAATAAAAATGGCAAATTGGATGTTGCACCTTTACTGTTTGACAACTGTCTGTACCCAAAGGAATGTAGGTAGAATTCGTGTTAGTACCAGGGAACATCTTTGCTTCTACAATTATTGCTTGTATCAGAACATGGTCTCTTGAGAGGGTTTGCCTGTCCCAATCTGTATCCCAACTTTAGTGAATCACGAAAGCCCTAGTAATGATGTTGTGTTTGAGTTATGACATTTATAAAGGATGACAATCATTGTCTGTCTAGCAGAAATGGTGCCTCCTATTCAGGGTTATGTTTAACTCAATACTTGTTACCATGGTTACCTGTTAGTGAGCTATTACAGGGTTGTGGACAGCCCTTTGTGTTATTACATATAACAGTATCATAAGAAATCTAATCATACAATATTTGTTAAATCTTAGTTGAAATTTATGTAATTATTGTGAACTGTATATGTTGTCTGTATGTTATCTCTAGGCAGGATGAATAACTGTTTCTGTACAGAAATGAAGTTAGGTCAGAAAATCAATATTTCTAATTTATTCAATGGGTAATTTCAGTCCCCCAAAACACAAGGTTAAGTTAAATTATTTGAGGTTATTTAAGAATATTTTGGTTTTATGCGTTATTCATTACAAATATAGGATAAACATTTTGATTGGTGGCTTGGGGTGGATAAGTGTAGTATTCTGATCAAAACAATCAGGTCTGCTCTTTATAAATAATTATCCCACACCTGAGTGACCTACATTTCTGTTGGAAAGATTGGATCTTTTTGTGCTATGTGCTCTCTTCAGTACAAGTGAGTTGAATATGTTTTGTGTACAAATTATTCATATATCTCAAAAATTTATATTGTGCCTGTGTTCTCAAAACAGTGTCTTTTGATCCTTAAATCCAGCTATACATATGTAATGTATTTTTTTGGTGGCAATGAACAAGTTTTATCTCCTTAGTTGTCTCCCCTGCCAGGCTACATCCACAAGGTAAATTTCGAGATATCAAACTGAGAAAACCTGCATAATCTTTATAATCTTGTTCTCCTAGTTTTAATTGACTTTTGTTATTAGTACATACAGATTGTGTCCAGTTATTTTTATGTTGTCAAGGAAACAACATATTCATGTATTTTATGTATTTATTCTTTGAAGTTGCCTACATTATGTAACAACATATTATTTGTTAATACTGAGATGCCAGTAATATTTGTTTTCCACCATTCACATGATATTGCCTGTGATGGGCATATGTAAGCTGACAATTCATAGTGGAAGTGACTTAACACAGTTGTAAGCATATAACAGTGTTTGAAATTCACATCAATTTCAGCCTGACAGTAAGAATGACAAGTCTAATAAATTGCTATTCCGGTTAAGCAGTTGCCATTCCAGACTGCTATTACACTGGACTGAACAATAAAGACATACTACAGATGAGAATAACTGAGATCCTGCATCATTAATCTATACATGGAATAAAGATTACGGTTTTCTGCAATATTTGATATCAAGTCATTATCAAAATGCCACTCCTGGTGCAAGTTCATGTCCTTTATATTATTATCTAAATCTAACAACCAAAAAATTTGCCATACCCTGGGACAGGCAGGTTAAAAAAGGCCCATCTCGGATTGTCGCTCAAGTGATGTTTAATATTTTTAAAGTTATAACACACCATTAAGAAAATGTCACATTTTTATCACTGGGCCTCTTTTCACAAAACTTCCACTTCTTTATTGTAATCTAACTGTCGTCATAGCAATTCAACTTATCCTGGTTTACCAGTAGTTTCGTCTGTTTATGGATTGTCTTCGTTAATGTGCCAAAGAGTAGAACAAAACATTAAAAAAAATTATCAATGTTGTCAGGGTTCATGAGATTTAAGCCAGTTCAATTTATAGGTTAAACAATTAAAATAATGTTTTCTATTTCTTTTGTAACAGCATGTTTGTTACCAATTGAAACAATGTTCTCAAATTTCACCAGAGTACAAACAAGTTTTAAAGTTATATTAACAACAGCATATTTCTTGTCAATTGAAATACCCGGTAAAGTATTCACCAGAATACAAATTTACAAACATTTTTTTTTTTTTTTTTACGACAGCATATTATTGTTACATATCTTTGTTATCGAGTTGCATATCTTGTCTATATCAGTATATTTACACATGTTGCAACAAGTTTCTCTCTGTGGACCAATGTGTCCGTGTATCAGTGAGTACGTTCTTTAACTTACAAACATGATCAAACAAATAGGACTATCAGCTTCACTATCGTTCTTGTGGAAACAATTCCAGTTTTTGTTTTGTACTTTTTTACTTGGTTTCTCTTGTTATCTTCAATGCCACTTGTTCTTCATAATAAACTGTATACAAAATGATTTGTTTTGCTTTGTTGTTTTGCAGTTGCTCAGGAATGTTTCTATGTTCATATAAGCTGGACAAAAGTGGGTCATGAATATTTGGGGGGATATTTTGTTGTTGTGAAAACTAAGCAGACAATGTCATAAATATATCTGCAAAAATAAACATGGTCCCGAACTTTCTTTGTTCAGTATATATATAGAGAGAGAGAGAGAGACAGATAGATAGATTTTTTACTTCTCTATACACAATCGCACACTAAGTAAAAAGTAACGATTTTAACCGTAAATGTATTCTTGAATAAATGTTACACCAAACACTAATTAAAATGAGTAGCGAAAACGTAAATATTTTCATCCAATGTGCCATACTTGACACTGCCAACAGTAAATTGACAGTATGCCAGGTATTTCGCCATCCTGTCTATGAAAAAGATGGCTCAGGCACCACCAGTAATAGCATGTGCAAGTATTGTGATACGTATAGGATCATGAGCAAGGTATCATGATACTTATCTGATTGCACAGTTGGTGTATCGTCCCAGCCCTAAAATTTTGTCAGTGGTCCAAAGGAGCAGCACATGAAAAAAGCTATTTGTCCTGTTGGATCTCTTCTAGTCCTGATCAAAAAGGTTTTTTTCTGATCTAGTGGTTGAGGGTATTCCCTGAGAGTGGAAGGTGGGGGTTCGATCCCTGGCTGTGACATACCAAGAGATGTTAAAGGATGGTACTTGTTGTTACTCTGCCTGGCACTTGGCATTTAAGGGTCTAAAACAAGGTCGGCTCATGGGTCAGTATACTGTGTCTGATTGGGGTATTCATGATAACACCATACCCATGCTCGTGGGTTTCACCGAAGTGGTGAGACCTGCGCTTCGGGCTTTCCTCCCACATTAAACTGACACGCCGCGATATAACTGGAATACTGTTATAAGCGGCGTTAAACCAAACTCACTATTCATGATAAACAGCGTCATGGTGCCTCAGTGGGCAGGTTGCTGGTTTTTACCCCTTTTTTAGAGTATAGAAACCTGTGATTAATGTCTTGCTGGAGTACAAACCCATCACCAGACTGCACTATTCATGTTAGATCTACCTTCAAAAGTTCAAATACACATAATGTTGTGGCCCCAACACAGACACCCCAACCCACACGTGAACTTATGATTTTACTTTGGACGCTGGTAAATTTGTTTATGTGTACATTTGGTCCACATACTTATGCAGTTAGGATATAACCATCTTTCATCTGAGAACATAACATTCAAATGTCTATATATGCTCCAAATACCAGTTCAAACATCGTTCTGGCTTTGCAGGTTTTAGGAGTGGTGATGGAATTCGTGATTTCTGCTAATCCATTGCATGCAAATACGTTCTTATTGTCTTTTTAGAAACATGAACTGTTCCTCTATTAATCATTCATGCCTTATGTTTTCTATGCTTATGCGTCTGTTTTTAGACGCCACAACACACGTCGCCTTCTGTCACCAACAGTCAAATTATTTGACCTACCCGCTCCCTTTCTGTGCTCAATTCCACCTCCACTCTCAATATTTTCACGGTAGTGGAATGTCTGTTCTGAAATGGCCTGTGCTGATGTGATTCCTTGATTGTAAGATTCGGAAATTCTCTTTCTCGGTTCCAAAGCTGCCATTTCCACAGTGGTATTGTTTGCCGTCTGCTAGCTGTCAAGCTCCTCACAGTGATGTCACGTTCGCGGAGCTCTCTCTATACTACCGAGAGTGTAACGAAGGTGTCACGCGATGAGAAGGAGCTTGCTGTTTACCAAGGGAGACAACTCTCGTCCTACTTTACAAATAAGATACGCGGAGTTGACTCCTTTGAATCAGCTCAGCATAAGTTCTACATACACATTTGACATGTTAAAATGGTATGAAAAGTTCTCAACAATATCTTATCAAACTATACCTTATATCTCCATACAAACAGGGTGTTTGTGCGTCTCATAAAACGAAATGCAGTGAAAACCATATGTCTTTCATCTGATGCCTCCAGACCTTTAATAGATAAGAGGCACATGATCCTTGAACTCACAGAAGATTTAGAAATAGTAGCTGCGGAGAATGTAGTAGGAAAAGAAGTGTCTGCGGACCCAAGAGAAACAAGTCAAGCAACACGATTTCATCCCAACGAAAAGGGAAAGTAACATTTGTTCAATAATTCTAAGAGAATTTACTAACATCTATTGTTGTTTTCTCATTGATTCCAATTTCTTACATGTAACCGTTTAGAGAAGTTAATATTAGTAATAGTAATGATATGCACAATTCTATTTGAATAGTGTACATTTGTACTATTCACAGGGGCGGTCGTGTAGCCTAGTGGTTAAAGCGTTCGCTCCTCACGCCGAAGACCCGGGTTCGATTCCCGACATGGGTACAATGTGTGAAGCCCATTTCTGGTGTCCCCCGCCGTCATATTGCTGGAATATTGCTAAAAGCCGCGTAAAACCAAACTCACTCACTACTATTCATATATGACTATCAATATGTTCCAAGTAATTGATATTCGTTTTATTATCTCTTCACGGCAAGTTCACGCGTAGCTCACCGACCAACGGTCATATTACCCACAGGCCATTCCTCCACAGACGCTCCGTTACCACATCATTCTCGTATAGGACCCGAGAGTATTGTACAGACCAAACACACCGCCTGGACCACCCTTCCGCTAGCAACTACCTGAATTGTTTTCAGTCACCATGGCATGTTGTCAACATCTGTTCTCAAACATTTGTTCACACTTTCAATACCACGTCTGAAGGCCTATGAACCAGAAGCTTTGAATGAATAATCCGCACGTCTTAATACCCAGTGTTCGAGACTGGCATATTTAAAGGACAAGTAAAATTACATAAATCTGGTCAAGTTGTATTTTGGGGACGAAAAACGTGATTAAAGTTTGTTTGACGTCAGTCTGGCCAAGTAACAGAACATAAGTGACAGAAGATAGATGTTACTGACCCGTGATTATCCGAGGTAGAATAGGTCTTCAGCAACCCATGCTTGCCGTAAAAGGCGACTAACGGGATCGGGTGGTCAGGCTCGCTGACTTGGTTGATGCATGTCATTATATTCCAAGTGCGTGTATCGATGCTCATGATATCAATCACTAGATTGTCTGGTCCAGACTCGATTATATACAGACCGCCCTCATATAGCTGGAATATTGCTGAGTGCGGCGTTAAACAACAAACAAACAAACAAACAAACAAACAAAGATGTTACAGGACTGGAGTCCACTACGCAGTAGGAATCAACCGCTTGTTTACGTCCTTCGGGACGTAGACCCGGGGCGCCAGGTCCACAGAGGTGGTCAGCAGAGACGGCAGACAGACGGGAGACCGAGACAGGCAAACATCACAGCAGCACAGAATGAAAAGATCCCGAGTCAGAGACAGAGACAGATCCAGATCTAGAGCCATTTGTGCTTCCTGCAAATACATTTTTGTACTTGAAGGACGAAACGTGTTGTGTTACAGTAATGCACGGAAGGAGAATATAGTGATCAGATTATAGGATATGTAGTTTTTTCTGTTTACTGACGCTCTTGCTCGTTGGTTTTCTTATGATGTGTCTATTTGTAACACCACCATCTTGAGGAATGTTACCAATCAACACTTTACACAGAACTGTAATCACAACCTTCAACTGTGGACTGGTGAGGTGAGATAGAGGTACCTTCCTCTAAACTGGTACCGTTTCACCTCCAAACACTGATAAATCTTCTCAGTCACAACTCAATCCTAAATACTGTCCTTATAAATATGTTTGAGACAAGTCGACCAAAATGGTTCGGTAAACCTGTGACAGCTTCTTGCATTTTATGTACGCTTCTTTAGATTGACACGGTTGTTGACACTTCAATTGCAAGTAGTCAGGGAAACGTCACCTGTGATTGGTGGATTTGGGTATGGGATGGCAGTTATGTAAGGGAATGGTGGATGTGAGGCGGTTATATAGAGATTTTAGGGGAGGTTGTTGTAATAAATGCACAACTATGGGTAAGGCCATGAAAATATGGAATTGTTTTATGTTGTCTTTGATTTTCATTTCCAAGTATGGAGAACAGGAAGACCACTTTGATAAATGATCTATCTCTCTCTCTCTCTCTCTCTCTCTCTCTCTCTCTCTCTCTCTCTCTCTCTCTCTCTCTCTTTCTCTCTCTCTCTCGCTCTCTCTCTCTCTCTCTCTCTCTCTCTCTCCATAGTCAGGGGTGATGGAGAATGGTGTATCTATATGCATGAGATAAGTATACGTCTTCCTTTCCACTGCATCTCGGAGAAATAGTTGGCTTGACGAATACATAACAGGGCCAATATACATGTGTGTTCAAACTCAAAGTACGAACACTGGGTACAAGATTGTTTGTAGATTAAATACGGTAATTCCAAGATGATTAGATCGAGTGCAATACAAGGTTAACATGACCTAACTTTTAGAAATCACAGTCATGAGATCGATCGTCCATGACTAAAATCACGTTTCTATTCGTGACGTGACGAAATATACTGGGTATGGAAGTTTGCTTATTGCCATACATGAATTGCCAAGCTACATAACAATAATGTTAGGAGGCTTATCAAACATCATATCAACATTCTGTAATATTATCGTACGGTTGAAAGTAGGACAACACAGTTGAATGACCTGCCGATGACCCGGGAAGGTCAGCGGGCAGGGATATCTAGCCAGCGCCGGGCGAGGCTCGTCAGTTCGGCATTGAATAAAGTAGGGAAAATGATACCCCTGTGATGTCGTACTTTCAACCGTACGAAAATATTTTTTCGGTAAGATACGGTTTCCCGTCACACGTAACTCCAGTCAACGATATAGTCGAGGGAGTTTGCATAGGTAACAGACATTAATGCGTGTTCAGTCGGTGTTTGCATATGACATGGTGTATACCCTAACATTCAGCTAGAAGTGAACAAATATTATTTTTTATATACATAACTATACCAGCTGTAGCACAAACTTGTATCCTTGCTTCGG